AAAAAAAAAAAAAAAAAAAAAAAAATATTATAGTACAAGAAAACTTTCTGCTAATCTTATTTTTATTTCTGCGACGCAGGTAAAAATCTAACCAAATAATTAGCTATCACGTGATATTTTTCCAATCTTTTTGAGAACGTATTAAAGAAGGTTTCTATCATTAAAAGAAGTTTATTTCATGATATTGTATTAATTACACATTTTTTCTTGTATTTTTGTCACGATCGTCATAAATTTCAACCATTTTGAAAACGGTGGACGCCGGACAGGTATGGAGTGCACTCAGTGCCGTATTATTTTACTCATAAAAGGGAATTTCTTGCGAAAGTTTAAATGCGACTTGAGTAAATATTAAATCATAAACCAATGTCAATAAGTAAATATTTCTTTTTTATCCATAAAAAGTTAAAAGGTTAATTTTGCAAAAATTTTAAGATTGGAAGGAGTAGTTTTATGATGTCATACAATACCGTGAAGAGACGTCTATCCAATATGGCTATATTACTTGCATACCAAGTTGCAGGTTAGGCAACTACAATTCTCTATTTTATAAAATTTCTTGAGGATATTACAAAAAAATTTAAAATAGAGCTTCAATCATGTCAAACTATGGAAAATCGTCTCCTTTTTTTTCTTTATAACCACAGATCCATAATCGAAATCTGATTAAAACCGTAGATTTTCATTCATAATCTGAAACATGGGTTGAACTGTTAAAGTACTACTTATTGAATTGGTGTGATCAGGTGATTTTTATTCAATTATAACGAAAAAACGAAAATAACCGAAAATAACCGAACCCCATACAAATTATGTTCAAATAGTTATTCCAAATAATTAATGGTCAATTATTTTGTGTTCTGGTCACTTTTTAATACAGTAGCCACTAATGTAATAATAAGAATTATATGAAAATAAGTTGGGAATCGAAACCACCAAGTTATATACTGCTAGCGAAAATACGAAACAAACGGCAAAAAAATATTTTGAACGTGATACAGTGGCGAGTTTATATGTCCACATGATCACTTTTCGTAATAATTCCGCAGCTGATATTTATTTATTAAAAAAATTTACCAATCACACTAATTCGAAAACCGCAATAAATTACGTTTGTTTCTAGAATTTCCCTACCCTCACCAAATATCTATTTATAATTAAGTAATTAAGTTTAATAGATAATAATTTTCTAATATACTATAAAATTGAAAATGTTCAAAGTTGTTTTTTTAATAAATGTAATGACGTTGAAGAGAACTAATAACAAAGTATGTTTATGAGAAGTTACTAATTTTTTTTTCGTTTCCTCAAGATTTTTTTACTTTTCTTTCAATTGTAGTTTTTGAAATACTTAATTATTCTTTTTAATCTTTAATCTTGCACGCTTTTTCTGCGCCTGCGACCAAATACTATCTCATTATTCTCATAATTAAATATTGGTTTGCAAATATAAATTTGTTTATTGAACTTACGAATAAACTATATCTCATGAAATATAAACTCCATAGTGTATCTTTTTTTTTGAATTAATATATCTATATAACTAAATAACTAAAAAATTCGGGATTCTTAGATTACCTTCCCATGTAAATAATTTGAATTTGTGTAACAAGAAACGCAGGATGTGGCTACGTCTGTACGTCCGTATTTATTATATTTAGAATAATTTGATTAGCTGTCTTAGCTGTCAGAGCCATGCGCATATTCTTATTGTGAAATTTTTAATCAAACATTTATTTTGCTAATCAACGAAAAAGTTTATTACATCGTTGAGCTATCCGGTTAATGGTTAATTTTTTTTTTTTACAGTAATATATTTTTTTTTTTTTACCTTTTTTCGGTCCTTATAGACCTACATTTAAACAGTCTATTGAAATTTCTTAGTTTATTTTTAAAACTCAAAAATAAAATTTTTTCAATAAATAATTACAGTCTGACCTTGATATAACGAACCCACGATATAACGAACTCTTGACTTACCGAACTTTTTTTTAAAAACCGGGTTCATATTATTTAAAAAAATCTCGATATACCGAATTTCATATAAACTCGATATAACGTATACCGAACTTTTATGATTTACCGTTTATAATAAAGCATATAAAAAAAATTCTTTATATACCGAACTTGATCACGTGGTTGAAATTTCACATAATTTATACTGTTAAATCTTAATTTCTGGCCAAAATTAATATTATTTAATCACGTGACAACTTTATATACCGAACTGCTGCTGTAAAACTTATGGAGTTCGATACACAAAAAAAATTTACATACCGAACTTCTACTATATACCGAACTTTTACCCTTGAACCGCGAGTTCGTTATATTGAGGTTTGACTGTATATTAACAAATGTAATCTTTAACGTTAATATGTATAATTTATTAAAGGTTATCCAAATTTTTATTGAAATTTTCACCTTGAAAACGTCTAAAATCATCTGGTTTAAAATCATCGATTAGACTTATATTTTCTCTAAAAAAATATATATACATACATATATTTGTTTATTTTGAGCATCAGTTATTTTCTTAAGAAGGACATTTTAAGATAAAGGTAATTATTAATTTTCATATTAAATTTATAAATAAAAATTTCTTGGATTTTTGTCCTGTTAATCACCTTATGAAAATTGTGTGAATTGTCTAGATTTGGTGACATTTTAATTACTTAACTTTGAAACCAACAATAGTAATTACTCAAAATCCTTTAAATTATGGTATAAAAATAAATAAATAATATCATACCAAATTTAGCCAAAAGTTCTAACTAAATTTTTACAATTTTTATAACTTCACTGCGTGTTAACAAACTTTTAGAAAACAATAAAAAAATGGTTACTTATATTTAATATGCAAACAACATGAAATTTTCAATCATACCATAAACCAATTAAACCAACGCATGATTATCTTTCACGTTGTTTGTGTATTTATCGTTATGTTTTTATCTCAAGAAAAAATTCTTTTTTTTTTTTATCGGTCAGCGCAAGATGATAATGTAATACAATTTGAATTAAGAATCGGTGAAACAGAAATCACATTAAATTTTAATTTGGGCTGATTCTGTAGATTGTTATATGTTATTGAATGGGCGTCCTTAACGTACATTATTGAATTACCGTATATGTCTGAATTACCCGAAAATAAGACCCCCCTGTTCCTGGCCGACATTATAGTCAAAAATGGGTGCTTAGTTTCGGATGTATTACATTACATTACTTTATACAAAATTGAAATTAATTATTTTAATCAAAATTGAATTGGGTTTGTAATCATTGGAAGAGTTAAAAATTATTGTATACAGTGAACATTCTATTCTTGATAGAGATCTCATAATTGTTTTTTGTTTTATAATTTAAGTAATATAAATGAAAATATATAAATGCGTAATTAAGAAATTCAAAGAGTTAATTTAATTAATTATGATTTAAAAATAGATAACAGGATTTTTGAATTTACAATAATTATTTATTATATCATTTATATGTATTATCAAATTTCCGAAAAGAGAAAATTTTACTGTTGAATGTTAATTATTTCAATAATCGTTTACGGATTCCCGACAGCCTAACGCTGGCCGTTTGATCACGTGTTCGCGCATAACTCTGCATAACTCTGGCCAAACAAATGTCTTGTCGGGAAATTATCCATCGGGAAATTGTGCCGTAACCAATTATTTCACACTTTTCAAATGGTCAAAAAAATACCCTGAAAATTCAAAGTGAAATTATCAGTATAATTATTAGAAAAATGCCAAATTTCTGCTTATAATCTTAAAACTATTATTTTTCTACATTATTTTTTTTCCTCCCTTTATTGAATATCATTAAGATACAAACAACTTAGACATAAAACAATCATATCTATTTCCTATCTAAAAAAAAACTAGCACAACCACGAACCTAAATTTATATTTTATGTTTACCTAAAATTTACGCTAAGCCAAATTAAGAAAAAAAAACCAAATATACAAATCACACGTTAACCCAAAAAGTAAAACCAAACAGATATCTAATAAAGCTTCACAATCTTGTAAAATAAATTCGAATTTTCTTGTAATAAAGTTCGAATATCAAGTTTATTATGGTTAGCTGTGCAAAGCAAAATAATGTGTAGATCCTTCCTTTTTGGATAATGCTTTAGGGGATGTGCGAGCTTAATAGTAATTGGGTGAAGAGTGCCGATCTCTCGTAATCTTGGCTATTTATGCATTGTTCGCATCACCAATCATAACTATAGTTTCGGGTGAAACTATTTTTTATTTAGGCGAAACTTTATTAGAATCACTATAAGAATTTTGCATCGTGGAGAAATAAAATAAAGTTTCGCCCGAAATACTAATCATAACCATTAGTAAATGAGTGCTGATCTCTTGTTACCTATTTTCGGGTCCTGGTATCACCAATGTATTTACTATCATAATTATAGTTTTGGGTGAAACTACTTTTCATTTAGGCGAAACTAGTTTCGCGCTTTCGCCCGAAACACTAATAATAACCATCAGTAAATGCCGATATCTTGTCCTATTTATGGGTCCCGGTATCACCAATGTGTTTACTATCATAATTATAGTTTCGGGTGAAACTATTTTTTATCTAGGTGACGCCCGAAACACTAATAATAACCATCAAATCATCTCATTTTCTAACATACGATTCGTTCCCATATGGCCCGAAAATATTTTTTTTTTGTTGTAACTTCTACTTTTATTAAAAATTTCCTTTTTAGTTGCTTATTCATGAAGCATTATTAAGAAGAAATTTTTTGTCAAAAAAGATTCGTCTAAAAAAAAAACAATTTTTTTTCCAGTAAAATAAATTTCTAAGATAATAAATGGCAACCGAATTTAGTAAATCAAATATCTTAGATATAGATACTAATACAATAAACACCAAAAATTGTTCGTATTGCAATATACCATTTACTGAAAAATTATGGTGTAAAGAATGTATCAATTCTTTGGAAAAATTAGCAGAAAATGGAGATAAAGAAGCAATGTTTAATTTTGCCAATTGTTATAGAGATGGAGAAGGAACTGAAAAGAATTTAGAAAAAGCCTTTCATTGGTATCAAAAAGCAGCAGAAAATGGTAATGAAAAAGCAATGTTTAATTTAGCCAAATGTTATGTAAAAGGAGAAGGAACAGAAAAAAATTTAGAAAAAGCCTTTCATTGGTATCAAAAAGCAGCAGAAAAAGATTATACTAAAGCAATGTATAATTTAGCCATATTTTATGAAAATGGAAAAGGAACAGAAATGAATTTAGAAAAAGTTTTTCATTGGTATCAAAAAGCAGCTGAAAATGGTATTGAAGAAGCAATGAATAATTTAGCCAACTGTTATAAAAATGGAAAGGGAACAGAAAAGAATTTAGAAAAAGCTTTTTATTTGTATCAGAAAGCAGCAGTAAGTGGTATTGAAGAAGCAATGTTTAATTTAGCCAATTGTTATAGTAATGGAGAAGGAACTGAAAAGAATTTAGAAAAAGCCTTTCATTGGTATCAAAAAGTAGCAGAAAATGGAGATGATGAAACAATGTTTATTTTAGCCAACTATTATAGTAATGGAGAAGGAACTGAAAAGAATTTAGAAAAAGCCTTTCATTGGTATCAAAAAGCAGCAGAAAATGGCAATAAAATGGCAATGAATAATTTAGCCAATTGTTATAAAGATGAAAAAGGAACAGAAAAGAATTTAGAAAAAGCTTGTCATTTATATCAGAAAGCAGCGGAAAATGGTGTTAATGAAGCAATGTTTAATTTAGCTGAATGTTATAAAAATGGAGAAGGAACGGAAAAAAATTTAGAAAAAGCTTTTCATTGGTATCAAAAAGTAGCAGAAAATGGTGATGAAGGAGTTGCAATTTTTAAATTAGCCAGATGTTATAAAAATGGAGAAGGAACGGAAAAAAATTTAGAAAAAGCTTTTCATTGGTATCTGAAAGCAGCAGAAAGTGGTAATGAAGAAGCAATGCTTAATTTAGCCAATTGTTATAATAATGGAGAAGGAATAGAAAAAAATTTAGAAAAAACCTTTTACTGGTGTAAAAAAGTAGTAGAAAATGGTGATGAAGAAGGTGCAATTTTTAAATTAGCCAGATGTTATGAAAATGGAGAAGGAACAGAAAAGAATTTAGAAAAAGCTTTTCATTGTTATCAAAAAGCAGCAGAAAATGGTGTTATAGAAGCAATGAATAAATTAGTCAAATGTTATAAAGATGGAGAAGGAACAGAAAAGAATTTAGAAAAAGCCTTTTATTGGTATCAAAAGGCATTAGCAGAAAGTAATAAAGTAAAGTCTAAAGATGAAGTTGAATTAGTATGTAATAAATGCAAAAAACCATATATTGATTACCCATGGTACCATCAATGTAATGAATGCAAACAACCATTTATTGAGTACCAGTGGTGCCAACAATGTAATGTTAAACAATTTCAACAAGATTTTTCAAAGTGGACCAGTAAAAATGAATTTATTGATAAATTTATTCAAGAAGCACAACTAAATGCTAAAAATAGTTATGGAATTTTAGAGTGGATACCTTATAATAAATTGCTAAATATTAGTTATTGTGATAAAGGAGGATTTAGTGAAATTCATAAAGCTATCTGGTCAGATGGTCCTATATTTAGTTGGAATTATAACAAAAAACAATGGGATAGACAAACAGATTATGAAGTCATTCTTAAAACACTTAAGAATTCATCAAATCTGAATAGTAAATTTCTTGATGAGGTATAGTATTTATTATATTTAACAAAATATTTTATTTTCTTTTTCAAAGTTTAATAACTTTTTTATTATTCATATAGTGGAAATATCATTATAATTGTCAGAAAAATTCATTTTCAAAATTTATTCAATTTTTTGGAATTACTCAAGATCCAAATAATCTAAATTATATAATAGTAATGAGTTATGCAAAAAAAGGAAATTTGAGAAAATGTTTATCTGATATAATTAAATTTAAGTGGCAAGACAAATTGCAATTATTGAAAAAAATTATATTAGGACTTAAAGTAATTCATGAATCAAATTTAACTCATGGCGATTTTCATGATGGCAATATTTTATTGTCAGATAATCACAATGAGTTATTTATTATTGATTTAGGATTATGTAAACCTATAAATGGTTTAGATTCTGATAATAATAAAGTTAATGAAATTTATGGAGTTATGCCTTATATGGCACCTGAATTATTTAGAAATAAACTCTATACTCCAGAAAGTGATATTTATAGTTTTTCAATGATAATGTGGGAATTTACATCAGGTATTCCTCCATTTTATGATAGAGCACATGATCACCATCTTATCTTGAGTGTTTGTAATGATGAACGTCCTGAAATTATTGAAAATACTCCAAAATGTTATATGGATTTAATTAAAAAATGCTGGGATTCAAATCCTTCTAATAGACCAACTATAATAATGCTTGAAAACATTATATCTGAATGGATTAGATGTATTAATGAATTTTATGTAGCAAACAGAGATGGAAATTATGTTTATAAAGTATCTAATATTGATGGTCAATTAGAAGATGATATGTTTGAATTTGTAAAAGCAAACAAAGCTTTAGTACAATCGCAAGAACAAGTAAATACTTCTATTATACAATCTCATCCACAAGCATGTTTTATTAGTCGCAATGTTACTAAAGAAATAGAAAAGTCTAAGAATGTTAGTGAAAGCATTGTTCAAGAATATTCTGCTGATTTGCAAGAATGTATGGTTAAATTTAAAAATCAATAATTCTGTCATTCATTCTTTATTTGCTTAATTATTCACCAGTAAAGATGGTCATCGGTCCTAGAAGACCGCGGTCCTACGGTCCTACACCATAAAAAGACAGACCAGTCCGTCTTAGTGTAGGACCGCGGTCTTTCAATCCTGTATCACATATAATAAGACCGTCGGTCTTTTTAAGGACCGCAGTCTTTTTAAGACCGATCGGTCTTTTTAAGGACCGCAGTCTTTTTAAAACCGATCGGTCTTTTTTCTTTTTTTTGCAAATAAAAAAAGATTTTCTTCCCTAACTTTATTAGGAATAGCCTTATTTTATAAATGAACACTAATTGGGATGATTTTTAATAAAAAATTTTTTTTTTTACAAATCACCTGGATATCATCACAACGTCATGCAAAATTTAAAGCTTTGAGAAAAAATACTTCAAAACGCAATATTTCGCTATCCAGCGATTATAAAAGGATGATTTTACCACCATTCGAATTGTCTCGCTGTGGCGCGTCAAATGGTATCAAAATCATGATTTTAGAATCGATAAAAAAAAAATCACGTCGGCAAAACTATTTGATAATAAATTCAATAATTACCAACTATCTATCGATCCTAGAAACATGATTTAGTCACCATTCGACGCGTCTTGCTGAGACGATTCGAATGGTGGTGGTTTCATCCTTTTATGATCACTGGATGACAAGATATTCCGCTTAAACGCTTTTTTTGGAGTTTCGGAGTTTCATCATTTTGACAAGCAACTCTACAAGTGGGAAGAGTGATTGTCATTATTTATTGGTTTGGAAATGGCCAGTCTTTATATTATTTTATGAAGACCTTTGTCAGATTAATAGGTTTATTCAATATAAAAATCATTTATTATATGAAGACCGGTATGAGGACTGGTCGGTTCTCAGGACCGGTCCTACTGCGCCACTAAAAAATGCAAGACCGTGGTCCGGTCCTACAAGTCCTGGGACTGACCAGTCCAGGACTGAGTAGGACCGGTAGGACCGATGACCATCCTTATTCACCAGTTATTATATAGGAATATTTATATTATTTATTTTTGCACTTTTTACAATAAAGTAATAAGAATTGAACATCTTTAAATACAAATTATGTTAATTATCTAAATAGTGTTTATTTTATTTTCATTTGCAATTTGTTTAGCGAATTTAAGTTTAACTTTCAAATCTATACTTTAAAATAGAGGTTGGAACTGGCCCAAAAAGTCTTAACCGGTTAATAACCGGTTAACCAAACTTTTAACTGGTTAATTAACCGGTTAAAACTCAATCCTAGTCAGAATTAAAATTCGGCCAGGATTAGCATCAAATATATTTTTAATCCCGGCCAAAATTAGGCCAGACCAAAACTCTAACTATTGAAACGAAACTCTAGCTGAAAGACGAAATTCAGGCCAAAATTGTCTGGCCAGCACTATGAATTTCGGCCCGCATTATGAATTTTATATAACACAAAAAATTCCATCACCTGGTCCCGTTGGTATCTTACCTGGTGGCTAAACTTTTATCTGAAGTCTCGTGATTTATAATTCTGGCCGGCACTGTAAATTTGGCCAGAATTACAAATATTTTCAGCATTTTAACCGGTTAAATTAACCGATTAATTTAACCGATTAATTTAACTGGATAATTTAACCGGATAATTTAACCGGTTAAAAATTGTTTTTTAACCGGTTAACAAATATTTTAACCGGTTAACCGTTTTAACCGGTTAATTAACTGGTTAAGCTTAACCGGTTCCAACCTCTACTTTAAAATTTACTAGCTAGTATAATCATAAGCTTAGAGTAATATTATAATTATCCCTATAAAAAATTGTAAAATTAGAATTTGTTATAAAAATATCATTGTATAATTTAGTGACTGAAAATGTTCTTGATTATTAAATTTCTGTACTTGTATAATTTTTTACTTTTACGGAGGTCATCTAAAGCAACAGGGTGGACATCCCCATATTATCATGATATTGCTGATCATTTTGCCGATCACTCGTCCAATATTATCACATAAAAAAATACCGTTGAATTAGTTTTTTCACAAATTCTACATAATAATAATGTATAAAATTTTGATTTTATTTACTTTATTTATTTATTGTTAATAAATTAGTTCTTAAAATAATTCATAAAGATTTTGTCAAATATCAAATATATATTAATTTTACAACAATTGTAAACATTTATTTAATGATAACTTTTGGGTTATCAAAAATTGTCCAGGTTTATTTTAGCTTGATTCTTGAATACCTAAATAATATACTGTAAAAGTTTCAAGTTTCGCCCAAAGATCTGTGACTTCGCCCGAAGCTTCAAAGTCAGATTAGCAGATGATCGGCATATATATAGCATATATATTAATTATTGAAAATTTGATGTAAAATCTAACTTTGGAAACACACCTTATTTTTCCATATACATGCTGCCCAAATTATTTTGGGATGCCATAATTATAATTTGGGATATCATAATTCATTCGGTTTATATATAATTTACTATTTAAAGTGCCAAAATAATTTGGGATGCCATAATTAAATTTGGGATTTTACTTATAATTACGGCAGTCCAAAATAATTTGGGTGGCATGTATATTTTTCCATAATACTTTTATATTAAATTATTGATAAATAAAACTATTAAATAAAATAATTTAACATAAATTGTCAGAACATTTATTGCTTGGAATAAAGCTTCAAATTTAACGTGATATCACTTATATCATGATCGGCAAGTGATCAACATTGTGATATAATCCATGTCCGCCCTGTTGTCTAAAGCAGGGGCAAATCACATGACTTCAAAAAAAATTGTTTTCATAAAATAAAACTTTTTACCATATATTCAACCATTCTAAACATACATTTTAAATGCATTTTTGCCTGCTCTGCAAGTTTACTTAGAGTGCAGAGTAGGGTTTTGAATGCTGTTTTTGATTTATTTGACTTTTTCAATTTCGTTATCCATTTTTGGATATGATTGACAAAGTTTCATTCATTCATATGTAAAGTCAAAACAATATTCAAAATCCACTTTTTTTCCTTAAGTAAACTTGCAAAGCAGATAAAAATATGTTTATATTATGATTTTAAAGTTTCTATTAATCTTTCTTTATAAAAAATTATTCTAATTAAAATTACACCGAATCACATGATTTGCCCCTGCTTTAGACGACCTCAAATACTCAAATACAAATAGCTATTAATATTAAAATAAATATAAGAAATAATTAATCATTGCGGTGGATTTATGAAATTTGGCAAAAACTGATTTCCACAGCGTACCCTTCAAAAATGTCACAATATAAAAACACGTGACTGTTTTTTGTCACATCCGTCACACCCTTCCTTGTTTCCATTTTTCATAAGTATCTAAGGGACTTGGTTTTTTTTGAGTAAGTAAAAACGTATTCATCACACCTTATTTGTCACTGTTTATTTTCACGTGTTAGTGCATAACGCCGTAATGCCAACCGTTTCGTGACATTTTTGAAGGGTACGCTGGGTAATCGCAAAAACCCTGCTGCGCCTTGGGAATTAAAATTGACTTACAGAAAATGTCAAATAATGACGCAGCTTTAACACTGGTTAGGTAACAGAAAATTGTTAGACGCAAGATTTGGGGTACAAAAAAATTTTTAGAGCTCATTTTTGACTGTTCACTAATAAATTTGGGACTTAAATAGAAATTTGGTGACTAAAAGACTGTCAAATATTTATTCAATTTGACATGATGGACAAATTTTGAGGTATTTCATAAATCCGCCATGATGTAATATTAAAATATGAATTTAAAAATCAATATAAAAAAAAGTTAGTAACGTACGCATAAAACATAAAAATAATAAGCAGTTAGCAATAACGATAAAACATAAAAAAAGATTAGTAACACAAAAAATAAAAGTAAAAAAGAAAGCAGTTTATAACAAAAATATACTAAAAAATATTAGAAATATAAACTAGCAATAACTCCATGTATCCAAAAGGATTAAAAGAATAAAAAGTACATTATTCAAATAAATATCTAGAACTATCTAGAAGAAAAATTAGCACTATTTTCAAATTTATTTCTTTTAGGAATGGATTAATTGTTTGTTGGAATCGAACTGGGCTAAAGCTGGTAAAGAATAGATAAATAGGGAGAATTTTTTTATTTCTTTCACTAATCATGTCTTTTAGATACTTTAGTTCTTTGACTTCTTGAATTAGAGACAATAATAAATTTTATTATTTTTTATTTCAATTTTTTTTTTCTGTTCCTCATGTTTGTTAAAATTTTTCTGTAGTTAATAACATATGAGAAGAAAATGTTATATGATCTGATCTGATATTAGCTGATTACAGAACATCGTCCCAAAAGGATTGGGATTGGAAAAAAAAGAGGTGATTAACAACTTTTTGCAGAAAAAAAATACATTTCAATATATTAGCAATGAAAATGTGTCCACAGTCAATCAAATGTTTTTAGTCATTATAAATACGGTATAGATCTGGCGCGAAAATATCATGGGATATCCAAATTATTTATACAGGGTAATCTAACTCTCCATTAGACACGAATTTCTTTAATTATATAGATTCTATATATATGAAAAGACAAGAGTTAAAAAAAAAGATGATGATAATTTACATACATTAGACTTTTTGTTAAAACCAATTTTGGAACGTATTTGTCATCAAATTCATATTATATATAAAAGTAAATTTTAACTTTAAACATAGTAGGTATTAACAAACTATTATTTTATCTTTTAACAATTCAACAAATAACTAAAAGTTAATATTTGGACCAATACTACAATTGGATAATTTTTTTTATATATTCGATATCATTTCCTATATTTTTATAATAAATTGAATTTTACAACAGCCAATTAAACTTGATTCTTAAATTATCTTATATCTATATTACTAAATTGGGCTTAAAAGGTTGAGTCAGTTGATTGATTGAAATTCACAACAAAAAATTATTATAAATTTTAAATTAGAATAACACCTGACGCGCGTCACTTGTCACATAAATTAAGGTATAATTAAACATTTATAAATTATAAATTTTTATTATTAAAAAGGTTTATTTATCACATTAGAAATTATGTAATCCTAAAATAACACATAAATCAAATAAGTATAAAATTTTCATAATATGTATAAATTATATTTTATTTATATAATAAAAAGTAATTTCATTAATAAAAGAAAGTGTTTAGTAATACAGGTGATGTACGTCAGGACTCGTCAGGCATCAATTTACATTTGACCGCACGTCAGTTATCATCCGACGCAAATTGACACCTGAGGCACGACAAATATATCTTGGTAAAATATCATTAATTATTTAACTATAAATTTTTTGACTTCCTTAACTTCCTTGACTCTCTAAACTCTCTTGGTTCTTTTGACTTTTCTTAGAAATAGTAATACTATCACTATCATTAAAACCTCACAACCATTCAATAATATTTTTATTCTTCATTCTTTCCTCTTCATCAACTTCGTTATATTTATCTTGTACCCATTTTTCTATCATACTAAGAAATGCCCATCCTTTTTTTGTTTTCTCATTAGCAAATATTTCTATATTTTTATGATGTAACATTTCATTAGTAGTAACAATTATTACTTTACATCTTGCTCTACTTATAGCTACATTCCATCTATTTATATTAAATAAAAATTCCGTTTCTTGTGGAATTTCACTTAAACTTATAAATCCAAAACAAGATATAACAAGGTCTGCTTCTTGTCCTTGCATTTTTTCTATTGTATTAATTTGTAAATTAATAAATTGATCATTTAAATATTTTACTAGACGTGATTGAATCGCACGACGTTGTCGATGATATGGTGCTACTATAAATAAGGATGGTTTCTTCATTTCTCCTTGTGATATTTTTAATGTATCACAAAATTCTGAAGCTATTTTCGCTACAGCGTCAGCTTCGATTTGTAAGAATTTAGTAGATAATAAACTAGATGCTGAATCAATATTTTTATCTAGAGAAAGTTTTACTAATGTAATTGCTGGATCTGGAGATAAAATTCTTTGAATTAACGGATTTTTAATATGATCTAATTTTGAATTATCAAAAGCTAGCTTCAGATTTGGATTTTTTGAAATATAATCATCACTATAAATCTTTTGGAAGAACCCATTTAATTCATCATTCTGGATAACAAAACAAAAAAAAGATGAAATAATATTAATGTATAAAATAAATAAAATAAATAAATAAATAAATATATATATATTATATACCATTCTCCAATTTTCTCTGAGTTGAAGAGTAAGAGGTCCAAAGTCATGCTTCTGCCCTTTTTTCAAAAAGAAAGCTTTCTCATTAAAAACGGAACCATCACTTTTACGCATTAAACATTGTTGAATAGATCCAAATATGAGAGGATGATCAGGAGGAAATACGGGATATGTATTTTGAATAATAGGACCAAGTTGCTATATTTATCATTAATTCGTTAGAAATTAGTATAAATTTGATCAATATTTTAATTATTTAATAATGTTTACATTACCTTATGATCTCCAGCAACAATCAGTTTTCCTGTATACGGATTTATACATTCAATAGGAATGCTAGCATCTGAAACTAATAACTAAAAAATTAAAAAAAATTAAATTAAATATTCGCATTTATATCTATAAATGTTTGATAATTTTTTGCTTACCTGAGAACCCTCATCAATTATCATTATGTCACATCCGGCCCAATCAGATTTCCATTTCTTTCTTACTTTAAACCAGTCCCAAACTGTACCTCCGATTACAATTGGTTTTCCAGGAATTCCGATATCATTAATATTGGGTAAGTCTTCTACTTTATATTTTGTTCCAGTTGAAGGCTTGTTCAAATCATTCACTAAATAAATGATAGAAAAATCATTTATTTTGTGATGTTTTTTTTGTACAGTTGAAATTCTATCCAATAAATTTTCAATAGCAGCTCTAGTAAAAGCTGTTACACCAACTATATAATTACTCGTCTTAACAGTACTCAAGTACCACGTGGTAAACAATGCAAGGAAATGTGTTTTACCGGAACCCTATTAAAATATAAATAAATGTATTAATAATAGCCTAATTACAAATATAAATATAAATAATATTTACTGGTGGTCCCCATATAATTTGAAGTCTTCTTCCTAGTAATAATTTATCCGAGATTTCTTTTTGTGATGGAGACATTGAAAAAGAATCTTGTAGCTTCAAAGCTGTATTTTCCACTTCTCCAAAATGTTCTTCAATTAAGGAAGAACCCCATGCATTAGGATCTTTTAAAAGATTCTATATTCAAATTAAGATTCAAATTTAACGCAAATAAATAACTTTTTTCTAATAATCGTTTTGAGAGAAAATGGTACAAACCAAAAATATCGACTTATTATCATCTTGTTCATCTATCTCAGTTAGAATTGTTAATATTTTATCGAGATTGAAGTTAAAATAACGTTTATAAAGGCGATAGGTTTCATTTTCAATAAGCTCCTCCATAAAGGATCCCTTTAAATAAATTATCTGTGTTTGTGGATCTTGATTTTCAACTTCCTTAATACATACTACCGATAAAGGATACGAATATTTATCTCGATATTTCATATCTGGAAAATGGATTGCTTTTAGGACGTCCTAGTTTTATTTTTAAAGAAAAGAAAAAAATAAAAGTCCAAAATTTTTGATGTAAATTATAGAAAATAATATATATTAAGTTGTATATTACCTCCGGATTATCTTTAACCACGATAAAATCTTTAAAAGTACTATTAGGTTCTAATACACTAACTTCTTTTTGGTTACTTAAAATAACAAATTTCGCAACATCTTTTTTCATATTAGTAAATTCCTTAAATTTTAGTCGAATTCCATATACAGTTTCACCTTGCATTAAATCATTAATTCTACTGGATCTAGTACGAGCACATTCAGTTATAGCTTCAAATTGTTTAAAAAAATATAGTTTACCCAGATAATTATTTTCAAAAGCTTTAATTTCAGTAAACGTAAAAACTGGTGGAGTAAATAACAATTTTAAATCAACATCATTAGTTGATTCGTTAAGAAGTTCATAATAAGAACTTATTACAGCAATTCCAAAATCAACTTTAAGTAACTGAGCTGCATTAATTTCTGATATTGAACTTTGCGAAGAAACCCATCTAGCATAAATATCTTCTAAGTCGATATCTTTAATATGTTGTTCCAATGAATTTAACAGTTTCTCATCCTTTAATTTTGGCTTCACCAATTGTTCCCATATATCAATAAAGCGGTAAAATCCAGGTACATGAATTGCAATATTTGCTCTTATCGCAGTTTCTAAAACAAATAATCTTGGAAATTCTCGTAATTCATTTGGAAATTCCGTATTATTATCACTATTATTATTTCCTGAAGCTAATAAAAATGACGAATTATCAAATAAATTATATAAACACCTCACAGCTATATGTTGCGTTGCACTTGAAATATTATCCTCATCCATAGAAATGATTTTCAGCAAAGCATCGTGAAGAGTTTTTTTTTCCTGTTCAGAAAAAATAAAGACGCAAGCTTTAGATTTAAGATTTGCTAAGTATTCAAAAATTTTTTCCAATGTAGTTACGAACTTATCCATTAGAGAGACGAATGATTTTAAAGATTCATTATCCTTCAAAGATGATCCCGAACGTCTAAAATTTGATATAACTTTTCCATCACTAGAATAAAGACATATTGCCCATCCAAAAGGACGTGATAAGAAAGGATCCAAAGACATCGCAATCAACAAGTTATGATCTGTTGTTTTGGGAAAATTTTCCGTTGCAATCCCAATAAACTTTATAATATTGAATAAAGATTTATTAGTAAAAAATATAATCTAAAAATAAAAACAATAGACCATTGAACAATTATTTTTATACCTGTGCTTTTTTTGTTTCTATAGCTTTAAAATATGGTGAACTTTTCGATTTTTCATCATATTTAATGATTTGTTTAATTCTCTTGTTTATTATGGCTTTATCACTGGATTTTGCGTTCTCATCTTCAATATTTAATTTATTAAAGTAATTTGACAAATCTTCAATATCAACATCATCACCTGATTTCCGTTCTGGTATAAAAGATTTCAACTCCTCAGCTTTCTTAAGCGGTAAATAAGGAATCATCGCAATAGAACCTTCAGCTTCTATTCTACAAGCATCTACAAATTCACAAGTTTTACATCTCAAGTTATAATGCCAAGGTACAGTTTCTTTAATTAAAATATTAGGTAACTCTTTGCGAAAGAATTCATCTATTTTTGAAAACAATGAGTCCACACGAAATTTATATAGTTGGAAAGGTAGTAAATAAATTCCACCCGTACGCGAAATACTAAGTCCACAAATCTTTTGAACTACAAAATTGAGAAGGTATGCATATGAAGCAACTTGAAACTAAATAATTAAAAACATATGTTAATGAGCTTACATTTACAATAATAAATAGGTAAATAAATAAATAATCACGTTCTATACCAGATGTGTATCTTGTGCAGTTTTTGAAGCCTTTGCGTCATAAACCATCAATTTTTTCTCCCCATCTTCTTCTTTAACTTCAATAAAATCAGGTACAAAAGGTTTTAACTTAATATCTTTTATACCCATTTTTTCATAAAATTCTTCGGGTACTATAAATTTCATTTGGTATAAAGTTTGACCAACTTCTATTTTTATTAACATATTTTTAGCCTCATAAGGTGAAACGTTTCGACAATCTACCACATTATTTAATTTATCCTTAATATCTGATTCAAATTTTTCTCCACGACGTCTTAAAGCTTCACGTAATGTTGAATCAACCGTTTTAGGTACATATTTATTTTTTTTTGAAAATTCTTGTGATTTTTGTCTTTCGTAATTTCGATCTGACATGAGTTTTATCAACTTATCACAATTAAAATAATAATATGTTGCTAAGTCAGATATCGATAGGGAAGTATTTATTTCTTCAAAAACTTCATTTGTCTTTGTTATCGTTAATCAGTAAGTTTTTATATTTTAAATAATCGAAAAGAAATTTACGTATAATAAAAAGTATAAATAAATAATAAAAAACATGGTTATAAACTTGTTTTTAAAAAATAATAAAAAAGAATGTCTGATATTTTATTTTATGAAATATACTTGCTAACCTTTTTTTTCCCGGCCTGCGACATTATTTTTAAGATTTCTTAAATAAAAAAAAATATACTGTAACTATATAGGTTTATGAAGAACAAAATAATTTAAGAAGTCGAACAAAAAAAGAAAAAAAGAAAAAAAATATATATATAAAATATATATGCGTTAAATGAATAACGATAAGCGTATTATACAGCTTTTTAATTTTTTTAGGCTTTTTAATTTGTGCGTTAATGGTTCGACCACATGATCATCTCAATTTAACAGTAGCTTTTTAAAGAAAGTATAAATTTTTTTAATTTTTTTAATTTTTTTAGACTTTACCGATTTTGTGCGTTAATGGACAAACACATGTTGTAGCGTTTCAATTTAGTGCGACCCCCTGGTTGTGTAACTAAATGTAAATCCAATTTGATTTTGCCGATTTCCTCTATTTTTACAAATCGTTTTCAATAAATAAGGTAAGGTTATAAATATGATATTTACCAGGTAAGTGTCGGTTTTCAAGTTATGAAATTTCACAGATTTTCTTTGAATTTTCTTCTTATGCAAAAGTTGTAAAAGTTTTCTTAAAAGTTATTCTTTCAAACAAAAGTTTAATATAGAGCTAGACAAGTATTAATAATTAACAATCTTATTTGTATTTTGATATGTTTAAGTTTTATTGAATAAACTAAACATTTCACATAATTTATACTTTAATAAAATTATGTATAGTCATGTTAGATTAAGATAATTTTAAAGCATTGGGACAAGCTTTGTTTGTTCTTTTAGAAAATTAAAAATTATTTAAATTGAATCACAGGGAACATAGATATTAAATTTTTAAAATTATAATTTTTCTCTTTTTTTCGTTCGAAATTAATCACGTGATAAGAATTCTATTGGCATGAAAATTTTAATATTATGTAACATATATATTTAATAATTCAACTTCAAAGATATAATTTACAACATAACTATGACACAAATGATTTAATTCTTAAAAAAAATGTATCTCGGTAAAGTATAATTAAAATTTTCTCTTTAAAATATTTATGGGATAGTCATCTTCACGATCTTTGAATGGAACTGATGAAACCGCCACCTAATTTGTAACCAGCTCTTGGCGCAGATCAGGAATGATCAAATGATCAAATGATCAAGTGAAAAAAAGAACGTAACACCATCAAAAAAAGCTCGGGCATGTGATTTTTGGGCATGTGATTTTGTTACATACGGCGCAGTTAGCTTTCCTTTCTTTTCGCGTCTACATTACCAATACCAAAGAATACAAATTTTTATTTTAAAAAAAAAAGTTGGCTTATTTTATTTACAATAGCTACTTGCAGAAATATATGAAACCTGTAGAATAAACCTAATATCTTGGAAATCACCAAGTAAGCAATAATACCAGTTCAACAAACTAATTTGCAACTGTTATTTGACAGCCTAATTAATGCTACCTTCTCTTCTAGAAAAGCAAAACTAGTCTGCATCAAAAATTAGTAAGGCAAAATAAGTGAACCATGCCATTAACATGGAAGGCATATTGATACAACTCATTATTTAAAATAATTTATTTTAAATTAATGTATTTTAATAAATTAAAATTGAATAAATTTTATTGTCAAATTAATATTAAATAAAATAATTACAATAATTTATTAATTTAAAAGAATTTGTTTTACTCTTATGAATTAACATCTATAAAATTTCATTATATTCTCAAGCAATCATCTTTGGAGTGGAGTATCTTAGGGTAAGGAAAGTTACTTTAGGCTGAAATACTTATCTTTGAAGATAACATTGACGTTGGAGTATCTTAGGGTTAGGGTAAGGAAAGTTGTTTTAGGCGGAAATACATATCCTTGAAGATAACGTAGATGTTGGAGTTTCTTAGGGTTAGGGTAAGGAAAGTTGTTTTAGGCGGAAATACATATCCTTGAAAATAACGTAGACATTGGAGTATCTTAGGGTTAGGTAAGGAAGGTTAGTTTAGGCTGAAACTTTTACTTTTGGAGTTAGTGTTGACTTTAGGAAGTTAATTTAGCAATAACTGCGTATTGCAATTTCCATAGCCACACCTAGCCGCAGTCAAATCACATGAATCACGTGCCCGAGCTTTTTTTGATGGTTACGCTGGGGGAATTAAAAAAGAACATGGAAAAAATTCAAAGTAGCGCAACCTACATGTACTATTATGGAAAAAGGAAAAAAAAAATTAACAAAAATATTAAGTTTTGCAATATTGTTGTAATGTAATAAATTTTTAACCAGATCAAAATAAAAAAATCATCTAGATAATCTATTGCTTTGATCTAATTAAAAGTTAATTTTTTCTCTTTAACGTCTCTTCTTAATTTCAACATTACGACATTATAATTAAATGAAAAATTTTTAACTATGAAAATAATTAAATATAACAAATGATGTATAAATAAATTATTAAATGTACAGTATCTCATCATCTCTTTTCATGATAATAAAAGTCTCCAGGATGATATATGACAAAAATAAAATCATGGCTATACAAAAAATGATCTTAACTACTAGTACTGGAATATTGAAATGCAAGTGGGAAGTTGTTTCTTTCTTGTTTAATTTGGGAACGTTGCTAACGTTTCTTTTCGTTTTTTTTTCTTTAGGATCAGTTCTTATACTTGAGCTTCAGACTGGAATACTGGAAGTAAAATCTAATCTTTGAACATTTAATAAAGCAATGAGATCGCAATGACTTTTTATTATGAAAATTTCTTTTACTCTTGGCCAACCTTTAAATATATATATTTAATAATAAATATTTCAATAGCTCAACTTTTATAAATCAGATTCAGTAACTTATCCAGAATTTAAAGTTTTTAATAATAAATAAAAATAAATGGACTTCAATGCACATTAAAAAGATTTGTTTACTTCTTACTTGAGACGTGGCTATGAAAAAGTAAATTGTCACGTTTTTCTGAATATTAAGTAATCACATTACAATTTTATATATGATAATTAAATAGATATTAAGGTGAAAACTTTTGGCGAGTCATATTTATATCGTTCAATCACAAATTGATTTTATTTATGTAAAATAAAAACTTACATATACTCTATAATCAGTGTTGAACAAAAACTATATCAAATAAAGAATATTTAATGTTCAAATATATAAATAACTAAAAAATGGAGATCATGAAGCAATAAAATAACTTTGTGATACTTGTTATACCATTTTGTTATCAAAGTATCATAACTATTAACTATTCTTAAAGTAAGACATAATGAGCGGACATTACCACGTGATCTTACATATCAACAACATTGATGTAGTCCGACATACTACAAATGTATATACTGTTCCTGGTTCGTTGGATTTAAAGAAGTTCGGGTCCGTCCTCGGGGGGATGATAGCTAGAAGTAGGATAGCACGGTTACGTATATGTCCTGTTAATAGTCTGTCCGTCTTCACATAAAATAAATAAATAAATAAACAAATGTATATACTGTAATTCATATTTAAACCATTATTCCATTATTCTAAACTTTTGATTTTTCTTCTGACTGTTGATCTTTATTTTCATCTTCTATTGATATCCTACAAAATAAATAATACTTAACATATATCTCGTAAGTAAAANAAAAAAAAAAAAAAAAAATAGATATAACATACTTCATAAAATCAATAATTTCTACCGAATTATTATTACTACATATAGAAGAATTTTTTTTATTTCTTTTTTGATATTAAAATTTATAATTGGTATATCTATATAAAATGCTAAGAAATATAAATTTGCCATTTTGTTGAATATAGATGAAAATGAAATAAAAATATTGATATACTGCATTAAACCATTTTTCAAACCTAAACTCGATGGAAATAAAATTGTTACAACGCTGAGTTTCTTTTGTTTTGCACATAATAATGACCAATAATTTTTTTACCAAATATCAAGGGCGCAGAATTTATCTGTATGATTGTATCGATCAAAATTTACTTAGCTTATTCAACAATTATCTCGCTCGAGGAGTATGTTTCTAAATCTATTGTCACGTCAAATCATTATACTCAAGGGGAAAAAAGTTATTGCTCCCTTTATTAAATTAGATTAAAGTATCTAACCATAATGCGTTTGTGCAATATTTATTCATAAAGATGGCTTATAGTAGGTTTTCGGATCTGGCCGGTCTTTGAGAAGTTAAAGTAAAATAAAGGCCAACTGGTTGTTTATAGTGAGACCAAAATTTACCACTTTTTGGTCTTTAACCAGTTCTGCTACTCCACAAAAAGTTGGAGCACTGCCTTATTTACTTATCCAAAAATTTCCCAAAAATCGATCAGGACCAATCAATACCATAAAAAAAATACAATCCTAAAATCTTTGCAAAATTATGTTGTCAAGTTATTTTGATTCATTTGAAAAGTGTGAAATAATTATGTCCAATAGCAATTTCTCCTTTAGCTATTCCTATTTTCCATTAAAGAATTTCTAATGATCTTTCATAAAATTGGAAATCTTTTTAATATCAACTTGGTTTAATGGATTACCCTAAAATTCTCGAATTAGGTGATCACGCTTTTATTATTTATACTAGATATTGGAATTTTTAATTTTAACGATTTTGTAGAAATTTTTGAAACGTTTGATTTCATATCACACTTAATATTGAATATGTATTCTAATATAAAGCCTTTTCTAGTTATTTTTTCTAATATTTAAGGTTGGAATTTCATAATTTACTTTTTCCAATTTTTTTATCTAGGGCTCTTAGTAATCAAATCGAGCAAGATCGATCATTGATTGAGCAAATCAATTAATCGATCACATTTTATTATCAGCTTCGATCAATTTTGCCCACACTAATCGATCATTAATAATATTAAATGTTAATATTATGTAATATGACGAATAAATATAATTAAGAGTTTTTTTTTATGTGTAGAATTTATAATGTTTCATAACACCAATATCTTATAATCATTCATTAAATTTAAAATTGGATGATCGGTATGATCACAAATCTTTTTTCTGTTAAATTTAACATAAAAAACAGATATTTTTAATATTAAAATAAAATGTCAGACAAGAACAATAGAATTTACATTAATCGTTTGTAAGTTTAACATTGTAATAAATGAAATTTAATGGTTATAAATCATTCAATGATCGATCAACTTTAAATCAAATATCCTTTTTTTTTGTTTGGTTGAGCTACAAAATCGATTAAGAAATTGATTGCATGTGATCAAAAGTTAATCCGATCAATTCCTCAAGGGTAACTTTTTGAGTCAATTAAATACCCTATTCCTATCAAGGTGAAAGTTATGCCCATTGTTTTTATTTTCTATATGTAAATAAATAAACTCAATTATGGATATTCATTTATTACTTGAATTTCAAGGAAGGTGGTAATATTCTCTAACTTCCAACCATGTGGAACTTTATGGGAAGTATGGAATAGAAAACGAAATTGGAAAGGAGCTTATCCATGGATTCAGCATGGGTATGAGAGAAAGTTGTGTAATCAAAGAAAAACATTGTTGAAGATTCTGACCAGTGTAAGCAATGGAAAAAGATGTTTTCATTAAACCAATCTATGAGAAAAAAAATACATTTAAATTACAAAAAAAAACGATTTGAAAAAAAGATGAGGAAGAAAAGAAATAAAATAAGATGTTTTTAAATCCTAAAAAGTAGAAGGATGGCTATTGAAGTTGAGTCAGCTAGTTGGTTAACTAGATTTTTATTTCTCGTGCTTTAACTTTTTAAAGCATCAATAAGAAATCAAATAATATTAAACTTGATTAATAATATATAATTTGTTATTTTTTATTTAAATGAAACTTCTTATATAATCAGCCCCAGTGAAAACACGTCCTCAAATTCTGGACCAGAGATCATGAAGACTGGTCTTGCTAGGACTGATCCTAACCCTACACGTTATATATCACGTTACATATGAATTATTTCTAAGTGCATGACATAAACTAATTGTGTATTTGTAGATATAATATGATGTCAAGTTTAGATTTTGAATTCATAATTAATAATAAAATTTGCCAAATTTCTGAGAATAGTTAAAGAAATGAAAGATGTGAACTATTACCTTCAAAAGTAAAAATTCAAAGCAAAAGCAATGTTTCATACCAATCAGATCCTTTTCATGAGAAGGCCGATCACACAAAGACACGTGACAAGGTAGCGGTGCATATCCGCAGCGTGCTCATTGGAAGATAGAACTGGTGAAGTATTGTTACATCTTGCGCGAGGGTTATTAAGAAACTGCAGATTTTGCAGAAGGAAGGTTTTATCTTACTTGTGAGATATAGGACGGAGGGGATTAATCTTTCTCAATAGCTTAAAATTTTCGGCCTAGATAGATTATAAATTAGTTTAGTGTAGCATTTGCTAGGGTTTTTTTAGCGATCTTGCTTTTTCCTGTTTATAATCTAAGTAGTTATATAGATTTATTTATTTGTATTATCTTCACGTGTATAATATTTGTAATAAGTTATATAGATAGTCTCTAGCTCAACTGTTTATAGGTTTTATTGTCCGTCTGCGTGCGGCAATCTAATAATGACAGATAAGTTATTGGTTTGGGTCCAAAAAAAAGTAAAGAAAATTCGAAATAATAGTATTTAACAATATTAATATAATTGTTTTATACGCCAAATATTCAATTCTATACCAACTTGACCAATAATACTTAGAATTGCAAAAATTAATTTTTGTTTATTTTCTACTATAACATTTTTTTTTATTATAGGAAAAGTGACTAATTTATTTATATGGTTGGTTTATTTTAAAATTCGTAAATTCGCATAATCAATTGATTAGTGTAATGTAGGACAAGACTTTGCCGATCACCAATTACGATGTGATTCCTTTACGCAAATGTAACACCATAACCATGCACATTAATTGTGGTTTTTTTATGACTTAATATAATTTTTAAGGGGCAACGTTAGATTGCATAATCGAAAAATCACAAACACAGATCAGTGCATCGGAAAAATTATGGCCCGACAAGATTTTCTACCTTTGATTGAAATATTCCTTTTTAGTAGCTCATTTATGGTACATTAAATAAAAAAATTTTGCCTAAAAAAAAATTTAAAAAGTTTTTTTCCAGTAAAATAAAATTTTAAAATAACCAATGGAAACTGAATTTTGTGAATCAGATACCTCAGACAAAGATACTGATACAATAAACACCAACAATTGTTTGTATTGCAATATAACTTTTAATGAAAAATTATGTTGTAAAGAATGTATTAATTCTTTAGAAAAGTTAGCAGAAAATGGTGATAAAAAAGCAATGCTTAATTTAGCCACATGTTATATGAATGGAAAAGGAGTAAAAATGAATTTAGAAAAAGCTTTTCATTGGTACCAAAGAGCAGCAGAAAATGGAGATGGAAAAGCAATGTATAATTTAGCTATATGTTATAAAAATGGTCAAGGAACGGAAAAGAATTTAGAAAATACTTTTTATTGGTATCAAAAAGCATCAGAAAATGAAGATAAAGAAGCAATGTTTAATTTAGCCAATTGTTACTGTTTTGGAGAAGGAACAGACAAAAAATTAGAAAAAGCCTTTTATTGGTATCAAAAAGCAGCAGAAAATGGTGTTAAAGAAGCAATGATTAGCTTAGCCCATAGCTATTATAGTGGTAAGGGAACAGAAAAAGATTTAGAAAAAGCTTTTCATTGGTATCAAAAAGCAGCAGAAAATGATGTTAAAGAAGCAATGTTTAATTTAGCCATCAGTTATAGATATGGAGTAGGAATAGAAAAAAATTTAGAAAAATCCTTTCATTGGTATCAAAAAGCAGCAGAAATTGGCGTTAAAGAAGCAATGTCTAATTTAGGCACATGTTATAGTTATGGAGTAGGAACAGAAAAGAATTTGGAAAAAGCCTTTCATTGGTATCAAAAAGCAGCAGAAAGTGGAGATAAAGAAGCAATGTTTAATTTAACCAATTGTTATTATTTTGGAGAAGGTACAGAAAAGAATTTGGAAAAATCCTTTCATTGGTGTCAAAAAGCAGCAGAAAATGGTGTAAAAGAAGCAATGTTTAGTTTAGCTCATAACTATTATAATGGAGAGGGAACAGAAAAGAATTTAGAAATAGCTTTTCATTGGTTTCAAAAAGCAGCAGAAAATGGTGTTAAAGAAGCAATGTTTAATTTAGCCATTGGCTATAAATATGGAGAAGGAACAGAAAATAATTTTGAAAAAGCCTTTCATTGGTTTCAAAAAGCAGCAAAAAATGGAGACAAAGAAGCAATGTTTAATTTAGCCAATTGTTATTATATTGGAGAAGGAGTAGAAAAAAATTTAGAAAAAACCTTTTATTGGTATCAAAAAGCAGCAGAAATTGGTGTAAGCAAAGCAATGTTTAATTTAGCTGCAATTTATAGAAATGGAGAAGGAACAGAAAAGAATTTAGAAAAAGCCATTTATTGGTATCAAAAAGCAGCAGAAAGTGATGATAAAGAAGCAAGGTATAATTTAGCCAACTGTTATAGAATTGGAGAAGGAACAGAAAAAAATTTAGAAAAAGCCTTTTATTGGTATCAAAAAGCAGCAGAAAATGGTGTTAAAGAAGCAATGTTTAGTTTAGCCTATAGCTATTATAATGAAGAGGGAACAGAAAAGAATTTGGAAACAGCTTTTTATTGGTTTCAAAAAGCAGCAGAAAATGGTGATAAAGAGGCAATGTTTAATTTAGCTATATATTATATGAATGGAAAAGGAACTAAAAAGAATTTAGAAAAAGCATTTTATTGGTATTAGAAAGCAGCAGAAAGAGATCATATTAAAGCAATGTATTATTTAGCCTCATGTTATGAAAATGGAGAAGGAACAGAACAGAATTTAGAAAATGCTTTTTATTTGTATCAAAAGGCAGCAGAAAATGGAGATGAAGAAGCAATGTTTAATTTAGCCAATTGTTATTATTTTGGAGAAGGTACAGAAAAACAATTTGAAAAAGCCTTTCATTGGTTTCAAAAGGCAGCAAAAAATGGTGTTAAAGAATCAATGTTTAGTTTGGCCCATAGATATTATAATGGGAAAGGAACAGAAAAAAATTTAGAAAAAGCTTTTCATTGGTATCAAAAAGCAGTAGAAAATGGATATGAAAAAGCAATGAATAATTTAGCTTTATGTTATAGAAAAGGAGAAGGAACAGAAAAGAATTTAGAAAAAGCCTTTTATTGGTATCAAGAAGCAGTAGAAAATGGTGTTAAAGAAGCATTTTTTAATTTGGGTACATGTTATAGAAATGGTGAAGGAACAGAAAAGAATTTAAAAAAGGCATTTTATTGGTTTCAAAAAGCAGCAGAATATGATTACATTTCAGCAATGTTTAATTTAGCTGCAATTTATGCAAATGGAGAAGGAACAGAAAAAAATTTAGAAAAAGCCTTTTATTGGTATCAAAAAGCAGCGGAAAATGGTGTTAAAGAAGCAATGGATTGTGTAGCTGATAGTTATGAAAATGGAGAAGGAACAGAAAAAAATTTAGAAAAGGCCTTTTATTGGTATCAAAAAGCGGCAGAAAGTGGTAATAAAAATGCAATGAATAATTTAGCCATATGTTATGAAAATGGAAATGGAACAGAAAAGAATTTAGAAAAGGCCTTTCATTGGTATCAAAAAGCAGCAGAAAATGACTATACTAATGCAATGTTTAATTTAGCCAATTGTCATTATTTTGGAGAAGGAACAGAAAAGAATTTTGAAAAAGCTTTTAATTGGTATCAAAAAGCAGCAGAAAAAGATCAGATTAATGCAATGCTTGGTTTAGCCATATGTTATGAAAATGGAGAAGGAACAGAAAAAAATTTAGAAAAAGCATTTTATTGGCATCAAAAATTAGCAGAATGTAACTCTAAAGATGAAGTTGAATTATGTAATGAATGCAAACATCCATATATTGATTATCAGTGGTGCCAACAATGTAGTATTAAACGATTTCAACAAGATTTTACAGAGTGGACTAGTAAAAATGCATTTATTGATAAATTTATTCGAGAAGCACAACTAAATGCTAAAAATAGTTATGAAATTTTAGAGTGGATACCTTATAATAAATTGTCAAATATTAATTATTATGATAAAGGAGGATTTAGTGAAATTTATAAAGCTATTTGGTCAGATGGACCTATATTTAGTTGGAATTCTGACAAACAACAATGGAATAGACAAACAGATTATGAGGTCATTCTCAAAACACTTAACAATTCATTAAATTTGGATAGTAAATTTCTTGATGAGGTATAGTATTCATATTTAATAAAAAATTTTTTTTTTTTTTTTTTTTTCTTTTTCAAAAATTTAATAATTTTTTTATTATTTATATAGTGGAAATATCATTATAATTGTCAGAAAAATTCATTTTCAAAATTTATTCAATTTTTTGGAATCACCCAAGATCCAAATAATTTAAACTATATAATAGTAATGAGTTATGCAAAACAAGGAAGTTTGAGAAAATGTTTATCTAATATAATTAAATTTGAGTGGCAAGACAAGTTACAATTATTGAAAAAAATTATATTGGGTCTTAAAGTAATTCATGAATCAAATTTAACCCATGGTGATTTTCATGATGGCAATATTTTAATGTCAGATAATTATAATGAGTTATTTATTATTGATTTAGGATTATGTAAACCTATAAGTGAATTACAAAATCCTGACAATAGCCAGGTAAATGAAATTTATGGAGTTTTACCTTATATGGCTCCTGAAATATTAAGAAATCAACCCTATACTCCGGAAAGTGATATTTATAGTTTTTCAATGATAATGTGGGAATTTACATCAGGTATTCCTCCATTTAAAGATGAAGCACATGATTATCATCTTATCTTGAGTGTTTGTGAAGGGAAACGTCCTGAGATTATTGAAAATACACCAAAATGTTATGTAGATTTAATGAAAAAATGTTGGGATTCAAATCCTTCCAATAGACCAACCATAGAAATGCTTGAAAATATTATATCTGAATGGATTAGATGTATTAATGAATATTATGAATTAAACAGTGGTGCAACTTATACCTATGTAGTACCTAATATTGATGATCAATTAAAAAATGATATGTTAGAACTTGTAAAAGTGAACAAAACTTTGGAGCAAAAGAAAGCAAATACTTTTATTATACAATTTCATCCACAGGCATGTTATTCAAGTCGCAAGCTTAGTGAAATTTATTTTCAAGAAGACTCTCAGGGCTATGATTGTATGATTAATGATTAACAATTTTGTTGTTGTGATTATATAAAATCCAGCACTTGCAAAATTGTTTGTGGACGGTTTTAAGTATAATTTTTATTAATCTATAATAATTTCTTCAAACCTATAAATTCATTCGTATAATATGTATTTTCTGTTGATGTCTAGAAATATTATTAATTATTATAATTCTTGTTTTTTTTTATCATTATTATGAAATTTTTAATTAATAAATCACGATGTGTCTTTTTAAGTCAATTCCCGTTGAATTCACTTTACAACAAACTTGTCAAAATATAAGAAACATATTTTGAGATGTTAAAACCAGACGGCAATTATTTCATGTTAGAATCCTTTCTTGCTAATAAACAAAATAATTGCTTCAATAATTTCTGTAAATAATATAATTACACAATATAATTTCATAAATAACAGATATTGTGGATCCATCCTCCATCATAAATACAGTACCTTTTCAGGATGTTTTTAGTATAAGTTTTGGAATTAATTTATAACTAAATGACAATTATTTGCATAGAAAGAATATAGTTTGTATGCTTGAAATGATTTTTTTTTTAACTTACAGTAACGTTGGTAACTTTTGGTATTGGACTTAATTTTAACTGAAAAAATAAAATGCGGAACAGCTCAGTTTATCTGGCAATATAATAAGTCCATTTCATTGTTTATCGTGAATCCTATACATACATTATATACACATACTATATGATATTATCTTGATATATATATTATGATCTTGATAGCCATTCAATATCACATATATCACTAACTTAACAATTACAAAATAAATCCATCTTTTATAATGAATGACCTTGCTTATAAAATTTAAGCGCAACTAATTGAAAATAAAATAAAATAAATGTTAAACACATAACTTAATATATCAGGCTAATATCAGGTTATTTGTCAAATCGTTCAAATTCTATCTTTATAACTGATAATGTTTGAAATTTTTAAACTTAAATAAACTTTTATCACATGATGAATCTTTATAAGTATTGGTTTTTTATCAATTTTTAAACTAAATTGATAGACTTCTTGGTAAATAATCTTTTTTATTGTTAGGAATAAATCTTACAATGATTATATTTAACTTTAAACGTGCGTAATTTATTGAATTTATAAATTAAATACCTATTATCAATTGTATTGAGTCAGAAATTTTCAAGTTAATTAATTGAGAGTCACAATCTATTAAAAATAAATAGAAAAAAAAAAATTAGAAAATATCTTCATATGGGGAGTTAGTCTGGGCCCTATAAAAATGATTTGTGTAACAAACAGGCTAATTCTGTCTACATTTGTGTATATTCTGTGTAAAAATTCCTCAATTTGTGTGGTAGTTATGTAATTCTTAACATTATTAAAAAAGTTCGATTTAGTAAACTGTATTAAAAATGTGTAATTTGTTCAATTTGTGTAAAAAATATGTAATTTCTATGTAATTGTAAAAAATGAATGATTTAGTAAACTGTGTTAAAAATGTGTAATTTGTTCAACTTGTGTAAAAAATATGTAATTTCTATGTAATTGTAAAAAATGAGTTATATTACGTTATAATAGTATTAGATTTAGTAAACTGTGTTAAAAATGTGTAATTTGTTCAACTTGTATAAAAAATATGTAATTTTTATATAAAAACTGAGTTATATTATTACATAATTGTATTATTTGCTTCTTTATCAACTATATAATATTTATTATCTACTTTAATAAATCCAACACATCGTTCAACTGCAATAACATCTATAAAATCATAACCTGCAAATTTAGTAAAATATTTTAAACCAACTGAATCTGTTGATACTGATGCAGTCCAATTGATATAAGCGAGCATAGATTTCTCATTATTGAACTCATACATAAGGTAATATTCTATATTACCATAAAAAGGCCTTTTTTCAAATACAGGTGTACGTCTTTGATTATTTGAATATATGTCAACTTCCAAGTAATCCTAAAAAATAAAATAGTTAAATATTAATCATCATTTATAACAACAATTTTTGAGTAATTACTTACCAATACTGAGTAGTTAACACGTGCCCAAGTTTCATTTCGTCGTATCCAATTTGATCCTATATAGTAACCATTTCTTGTAAGCAATCGACTAAATTTTAGTCCTTGTGAATCAAATGACTAAATAATTATAAATTAATTAGTTTAATGTAATACTATTATTTGCTTATTTTTACTGTACATACTTGTAACTGTCTTGCTCTTACATCATAGTATGTTGAATAATGTTCTTTAATTTTTTTGATTTCACTCCGTTTAAGTGTGTATTGCTGCATAGGTGAATAAAACACTTCATCATAACTGTCAGTTGTAAATACTAATCCATGATATTCTTTAATAGTTTTTTCTGGAAGTAATTTTTGATAAGCTAATTTATAGAATCGCAAATGATTAAAAAGTTCTATGATATAAACATTATTTGCGATATTTTTGTATGGGTGTAATCTTGATCTAGCAAGTGGTAAAAGCATACCACAAACACGTTCAATTGGGAACTGCCAAGTAGTACAACATGGTCCGTTTCTTTTAATACTTGCAACTACATGAAGTATATAATGTATACACATTTTCATAGCACTAAGACGGTTAGCAGAAAATTTGTAATATTCACTATAATTAATTATTCATATTTTGTTAGTATTATAATAATAACATAAAATTATAAATAATATATTTCAGAATATTTACCGTTCATAATGAACATAAAATTTTAATAATAATGTATCAATATTATTTAATTCATCCATTGTAATTACTTTTTTCTGACATAACTGTACAGCTTGCACGAAGAAACTCCACCCTTTATAATATTTTGTTGGCAAATAATCTTTAAGTAATGGCAATGAATACATTGTTATCCATCCTGCCCATTCTTCAGCTTTGTATCCATGGTGATGTAGTATTATATTGCGTGGAGGTCTTCCTAATGCTGTTGGTATAGTTTTACGAATCTGATCCATTTTTTTCCAATATTTGTCCAAACTTGTTTTGAAAGTACGTATGGCTCATTATTTAATGTTTGATTTGTATAAAAAGTACCCATCCAATGACTAAGCATATATTTGGCAACATTTTCATAAAATACATGCATAATATCTATTGGAAATGAATCAGGAAAACGAGTTGTGGACAAGTTAAATAGAATACTACGCTTTATAATGCCTAAATATATTAAAATTAATTATTATATTAGCTTAAAAAAGTAGATTAAACAATTGAAAATATTAAAGTCTCCTTTACCATATTTATTAACAAGAGTATCTCGCATTTTTCCAACCTTTGATTTATGAATTTTTTCAAGCCTTTGTTGCCACTCTTCATGTGTTCGATTAGGTAATGCAAATAAATCATATGTTGTATTGTTTTCAAAATTATTTGGTGGAGTGGTAGGATAATAAATATGATTTGACCAAATTCCTCTTATATTACAATATCGACATCCTTGATAACTGTTATGCCCTGTTAAACACATCAGCTTTGTTAATCCTGGAATATCGCCTGACCAATTGATTACAGCTGCATGCAATATAAAGTATTCCTTTTTTAATGCATCATAGCAACTAATACCATCTACAGTATTAATAAATAATAGTTAAATATTAATAAATAAATCAAATAATTACAAATTAACTATTCTTATATTTACATATATATATGTAATATATATAAATTAATATCATACTTTCTAATTTCTGCAATTCCGAAACAATAGGAGCAAGAAAATAATTGAAATCTTTTGGTTCTTTAGGACCTGGTATAATTGCACCCATTAAAAAGTTGTCTTTTTTAACTCGAATTTCTGGAGCAAGGTTTGCATTAATAAATAACAAAATCCAGCAATCATCTGACTTTTGTCTAAATATTTGATAACCATCAACTGAAGCTAATAATGCTACATCACGTTCATCCTGAAAATGTCCATTTTGTACCAGTTCTTTATAATGATCTCCATCAAAAACATCACCTATTTGAATATTACATTTATATAATTTTTGTGAAATATAATTGGTTCTATAACGTAATTCTTTAGCACGATCATAATTTCTATATTGAATAGTAAGGCGTTCAATAAGTGAAAAATATGAATATTGTTTACATGGTTTTTTATGTTGAAATCGTTCAGATCCACATACTGGACATTTGGTTAATTTCCTATAACTTTCTGTATAAGCACAGCATGAATTAAGACACATATCTATCCAAATAGGTTCAATATGAACAATAGATTTCAATTGCTTTTTAACTGTATGTAAACTGATCGGATTACTATTAAATGCCATCATAGTTTCTTGAAATGCTTCATCTGTTAAATTGTGCTCAATTTTGACTTTCAGAAATCTTAGTGCTGATAATAAACTTTCAGAAATATCATATTCTATCCATAAATAAATAAATTAATTTAATAGATAATAAAGTTTTATTACATGTTAAAATAAGTTGATAATATACCTTGTTGTAAAATATCAGTCACTGAACTTGAATCACTTGTAACTTCATCATAAGACATCATACTACTACTTGAATGGCTTAATAATTCATCAGATGAATTTTCAAAAGAATTATCCAAATCATAAATTACATGATCATTTTCTGAAGTAGTACCACTAAAATGATAAAAATTTTATTTAATAAAGTAAATAAATTGCAGTTATAATAATTATATAACTTAAAAAACCTTAAAGAATCTTCTATTGGTATTTGTATTTCTGTACTATTATCAGTATTATATTCATTATCTTCTAGTATTGACATTTGTGTTTCTGTACTACTACTAGTATTGGCATCATCACTTGTTAATTCTGAATTAAGTGGCTTTGAATATTGATACCGATTTGCACGTTCAGTTTTCATATGTCTAGAACGAGTGTTTCTACTGACCCAAGCACCACCATAACCATTTTCAGCACATAAAGAACATCGACAATANATTTGCACGTTCAGTTTTCATATGTCTAGAACGAGTGTTTCTACTGACCCAAGCACCACCATAACCATTTTCAGCACATAAAGAACATCGACAATAGGGATGCCAAAAGTTCGGTTATGACCGATCATAACCGGTTTTTACCGGTTCGGTTCCAGTCTAAAACTGACCGGTTAACCGACGGTTTTATATATAAAAAAACCGATCAAAAAACCGATACTGCTAATTGATTATTAAATGACGATCAATTACAAATTTGATACATATGATATTAAATAACTTGTTTTTATTATTCTGCGGAAATTATATAAGCTGTAAATCACTGCACCATTACTAAAATTAGTTTATTGGCTTATTTTCATATGCAAATGTTTTTTTGTAAAGTGCGCTTAAAAAAAAAAAAAATTTATTAAAATATTTTTATTCTTTTTTTAACAAATCATCAAAGTATCTATTTATTAATTTTTTTTGCCTAAATAATTGATTTTAAAATTAATGGATAATTTTGATGTTGACTCAAACTATACTTCAGAAGATGAGAGTGAATATTCTTTTGGGAGTTCCTCTCAACACTCAGCGTATAGTTTAGAAATGCACAGAAATGATATGATTTTAGATGATGATAATACAAATCAGCAGGAACTTGATGATGAGGAAAATGAAGATGATGAAAACCAAAGTAATAGAACGCCATCTGATGTATGGGAGCATATAGATAAAGTAACAGATCCAGAAAAACCTAAATGTAAGATTTGTAATAAATTTTTTTCAGCAAAAAGTTCTACAACAACATTGCGAAATCACATTAAAAAATATCACAAACATATTCATAGAGAAGCCAACCAAACAACTCTTAAATTTAAGGGCAACATTACTTCCTTTTATGATAAAGAAAAAAATGCTGAATTCGTTAAACTTCTTATTAAATGGATAGTAATTGACATGCTACCATTTTCTCTTGTTGATAGTGTTTATTTCAATGAATTTATACAAAAATTAAATCCAAAATTTAGATGTCCAGGTCGTACTACATTAAAAAATGAAATAATGTCTGAATTTAAATCTAGGCGTGAACATATTGTTGATTTTGTTAAAGATATTCCAGGTCGTTGCTCAATTACAACTGATATATGGTCAAGTATTAAAAATGAAGCATTTATTGGAGTTACAATTCATTTTATTACTAATGAATGGAAGTTGAAGCATTTTACACTTGAAGTTTTGCGAATAACTGGTTCTCATACTGGAAATGCAATTTATGAAATTCTCAATAAACTTTTAGTAGATTTTGATCTCAAACAAAAAATTATATCCATTACTACTGATAATGGAAGTAATATGGTTGTGGCTTGTAGATTGTTAAAAAATGATTTTGACATTCAAACACCTGCATTAGATTTTATTCATTCTCTTTGTATATGTCATATATTAAATCTTGCAGTAAATGCAGGATTAAAACATGTAGAAAATTTAATTAAGAAGTTAAGAAAAATAGTAAAACGTGTTAGGAGAACCCAATTATATCTTGAGGAATTAGAAAGATTAGCAATTGCTGCTAATCATACATTTAAGCATCCAATTTTGGATGTTAAAACCAGATGGAATTCTGTATTCTTTATGGCTGAACGTGCATTAATTCTTAAGGATGACTTATTAATAATAAAATCTCGACATCAACCACTTCAGGATATTTGGCTTAATGAAAGGGAATGGGAAAAAATTGAAGTAAGTGTTAATTTTTATAATAATTATTAAATTATTATTTTATATTTAATTATTAATTACAAGTTTTAATTTTAGCATCTGGTTAATTTATTATCACAATTTCATATTGCTACAGCCGAACTTTCCACACAAACATATCCAACAATAGCATATGCAAGAGTAGTACTTTTAGGTTTACTTGTTGATCTTAATGAAAATAGAGGTCATAACTATTCTCTTAGTGAAGTTCTTTTGGCAATCCGTAATAAAATTCAAGAATATTGGGCTCACATTGATAAAATGACTCATGTTCCAGCATTTTTTGACCCAAGGTACAAAACAATTGCATACAAAAACTTGGAAATCAATGAGATTCTTGAACCCATTCGTAATAATTTTCCAGATTCAGCTTTAAGTAATTTGCCATCTAATAATAATGCATCTATATTTGTTCAACGTTTATCATCTGTACGTCAACAAAGAAATTCAAATACTGATGAATTGTTAAAATACTGGGAATCAGCAGATGCAAGTTTTGATATAGAACCATTATCATGGTGGCATGCTCATTCAACAGAATACCCTATATTATCAAAAATGGCCCAGAGTTATTTATCTGTACAAGCTTCTTCAGTACCCTGTGAACAATTATTTTCTTTGGCTGGTAATGTGGTAAGTAAAAAAAGAAATAGGTTGGATGAGGATACAACTAGGGCATGTTTGTGTTTAAGAAGTTGGATGATTGAAGGAATTGAATAACTTAAATATTTTAATTTAGTATAATGAATTTAAATATATTAATTATATATAAGGAGTTTCAATATTTTCCAGCAAAAATTTACTAAATTTAAACATTATTAGCATTATTCATTTATTAACATTTATTAGTATTTTTTTTATTGGTTTATTGACAATTATTTAGTTATTTTTTTTTGTAAAAATCATTAATAAAAAACTTTTAATAAGTTTAATGATATTGTTTATTAACGAATTATTAATAAATCAATAAAATTTAAAATTCGGTTTTGTACCGGTTTTACGGTTCAGTTTTACCGGTCGGTTATGCGGTCAGTTCGGTTTTGGTTGAAAACCGCGGTTTTAAAACTGAAACCGAACCGAACCGACCGTTGGCATCCCTAATCGACAATAAACTTGATTTGTATGATTATCAGATATCTCCATAATAATACTACTTTTTTTTGGACTATTTATTCAAATTATTAATTATTAAAATTGTAACTTATAAAAAAGGTTTATATAAGATATTAAAGAATTGTAAATTTAAAGTTACATTGAAAAAAAAATTTATATGATTAATATTTTTTTTAATTAAGTATTTCATATATTAGAATTTGTTTGAACTTGATGTGATTTTATAATTATGTAATAATTCATATACTATACTAAATTTGTCAAACAAACTATAAAATAGCTTATACTTTATACTATACTAAATTTGTCAAACAAACTATAAAATAGCTTATACTTTATACTATACTAAATTTGTCAAACAATATATTTACGAAAGTATAATATTAACTATAAAATAGCTTATACTTTATACTATATTAAATTTGTCAAACAATATATTTACGAAAATATATTTATTTTTCTTTCAAAATCTCTTAACAACTGAAATAAATACTTTTATTTTTTTTATTTTTAAAATATGGGAAAATACAAAAAACCTGCTATACTAAATAAAAAGAAACTTGTTGATGAAATAAGTGATCCTGAAATGGCTTATATGAAACGTCAACTAGAAATATTAAAAGCTGATAATGAACGGTTGCGAAAAGAACGACTTAAAAATGACCAAAACTCCAGTAAAACTTTAGCTTTAACTGTAGCAAGCATTGGTAAAAATTCTAAAGCTAAACATATTAATAACCATAAAAAATCAAATAAGGAGATTAGTGACTCTGAAACTAATATTTCAAATAATCAAAAAGTATACAAATATAACAAAACACGTAAAATTATTAATGTTTCAGAAAATTCTGAGACAGATGAGTTTACTTATAAGCAATTATTAAAGAAGCGCAAACATCGCAAAAACAAACAAGCAAATAAAGTAACAACTATATCTAGTGATTTTGAAACAAATAATGAACAAATATTATTAAAAAAATATAAAAAGAAAATAAATGATAATGAAAGTGATATTGAAGATATGTCAATTTCTCAAGTAAGGTTTTTTTTTTTAATTTATAATTGCAAATATTAAACTAAACATTTTTTTTAAAGAAAACGAAAACACCAATTGCAAAACCAACTAACTTGAAATGGTATGATCTGCCAAAGCTATTGTCACTTGATAATAAAGTTTATGCATCGTATAGAGTAAGTTTAAGATATTATTTAATTATATCCAAATATTCTATGATGCATTGTTATAATATTATCATTATTATTTTAGAGTGCTATGCGTGAATTTATAGCAGAAAAATGGAATGGAAATACTCCAGAATATCGCAAGATAAGTATGACTAAAAAACGCTATTTGGTTGAAAAGGTATATCAGTTTAATGATATTATAATTGACATAACAATAACAATTAAGTAATAACAAATTATTTTAGTACAAATCAAATAATCCAGATTTTCCATTATCAATTGGTGATTGGGCTATTCAAATGATGATGCGTCGTGCTATTAATCAACAGCGTATGTTGATTAAACATAATTTTTTAAAGTTTATTACTTATTTATTTTATATTTTTAGGTAAAGTAGAAAGAAAAGTTACAAAGAATGTTAAGCATTCTCGTGTTATGAAAAGTAAAGTGATGGTAGCTAAGACTAATAAATCTAATAAAATTCATGGTATGTATATAATATATATTATTTGATTATTATTTATTAATTTATATATTAAATCTCCATTTAATTAAGATTCAGTATCAGAAGATGCCGATGCTACCAATGATGAGGATGCCGATACTAATAATGATGAAGATGCCGATACTAACAATAATGAAGATGCCAATACTAATAATGATGAAGATGCCAATACTAACAATGATGAAGATTCTGATACTAATAATGATGAAGATGCTGATACTAATAATGATGAGGATGCCGATACTAATAATGATGAAGATGCCGATACTGAAGAAGATGCCAATATTAACAATGGTGAAGATGCTGGTAATGTTGAAGACACTGATACTACTAATTATGAAGATGCAAATAGTGTAAACGATAATAAAAATACTAATTCAAATACTAATAACAATAAATATAAAGGTAAGGTTTTATAATTTTATATTTTAAAAGTATGATTGCCGACCTGAATTAATTTTCTCCATTAAAAATAAAAAGACGATTCAAGATCCATTAATAAAAAATTGGATACCAAAAAGTCTAGAAGAATTTTAAAAATGCGGTATGTAAAAGATTATATAATAGTAAATTTTATAGAAATTTTATTAACTAATAATAATTTTATAGACAAGATATAGTTAATTCTAATAATTCCGAAATTCAAAAAAGTAAATATGGACGAAAGGTTAATAATAGCAAAAGGAGTATGCAAGAAGCAGATCAAGGCGAGGATACGCAAGAAAATCAAAAATCTAATAGACGATCTAAAAGAATAGCCAACAAGTTAGCTAATAGTAATACTTAATAAAAATACAGATTCAATATAAAATTGATATAATTATCACACATTTCATTATGTATAATAATAGTATAAATACAACGCAGATTTAATATAAAAATAACATAATTATTGCACATTTTATTATATATAATAATAACATAAATATAACACAGATTTAATACAAAATTAACATAATTATTCTGCATTTTTTATTAACACAAATTGGTGCATTTTCAGACATTTATAAGACAAAATATTATACATAATTTTGATACAAATTTAACACATTTTTTTTTTATAGGGGGGGCGACACGTTATCATTGTGCTAACTCCCCAAATTTTTATTCAGAAAATAATTTTTAAATAAGCACTTAATAATTTCATTGTTAAAGTAATAATAGATTAATTAACAGGTTTTGTCTTTTTGATAATAACTTATCAAATGTCATACGAAGTTGAAATGTTTGGTTTTCTTTATCAAATTTTTTAGATGCATCTCTCATTTCTTTTCCTTATAACTAAATTTTTCTTCTTCCCCTATAATAAAAAACACCAAAATTCAAGTATTTATACTAATTCATCAGCTTTTGAATTTTTAGACAAAAAGCATTTTGAAGATATTTTAATGTTATTTACAACAAACATAGAATAATAAATTTTATAAAATAGCTACTTCATTAATTGAATTTTAATTTTATTAAAGGTATAAATTAATATAAATAAAAAATAAATTACGTAATTTAGTTTAATATGTTTAATATGTGAAATTGTAATTGTGTTAATTGTGTTCAAAAAAAAACAATTGTTTCAATTAAAATAAATAAAATGTAATAATTGTAAAATGATAAATTTATTTTTCATTTAATAAAAAAAATTAAGAAAATGTTACGCAAAAAGTAAATTAAATAAATATAATAAACATAAAATTTAATTTTTCTATTAATTTATTTATTATATCAAAAAATTCATTTTTATTTTTATTTTTTTTTTTGTAACCACATTATTCCCAACATTCATATTCCCGACACTTATTATCCATTTAAGTGCAATACAATTATTAAATATAATAAGACACTAACCAACTACCCGGATAAATCTAGGGTAAAACTAGGGATGCATCCAGGGTAACTACCCAGGGGTTTTGATCAGTACGGCGCTTCATAATGATGCTATATATTTCCTTTTTTGAAAATTAGTAGAAAATATAATTCTGACCAGAATTATTTATACTCATAATTTTGCATTTCCTAAAATGGATGATGACCTGTTCAAAAATCCTGAAATTTAAATGACGTCATTTCCGGCCATTCCAACATTATTATTATTTTTCTTCTTCTTCTTTATAACGATTAACAAATAAATCAATGAAATACGTAAGATTATTAGAGCGCCACAAAATAGGGTTTAAAGATTCAATAGAAAGATCTATAGATGGTAGTAGTCATTTAGCATGGTTGTCATCATTATACTCGCCCATAACACCATTCACGCCCGAAATAACAGTGTCAGAAAATAAGAAATATAATTATCAGTTATTGTTTAAAAATTAAAACTAGGAAACGGGAACCGTTGTAAGTCCGGAGCGAAAAACTAAAATTTGAGATTTCATTGGGTGATGATCACGTGCGGACAGAGAATTCACGTGATCTTTTTATTTCATAGTGCGTAGACATGTCGCTTCGCTCCGGACAATTATACATCAACAATGGCAAGATGTTGAAATTTAATAAGCAAGGCTAGGTACCAAAATAAAAGAGTGGATGAATGATAAGTGAAAATTATTAAGTTTAATAATTACTTAATTACAAAAATTAGATTTAATATTTTAAGGTTTTAAATTTTATTAATTTTGGAATAATTATATTAAAAAAAAATTATTTGAGAATCTACTAAAAATAATGTTATTTATTGGAAAAACTCTTCACCCCAAAATCCTTGTGTTGATCCAAAGATTTAATTTGGCTAGTGGAGATTTAGTTATGAAATTTATGAAATTTGTAATCATAATTGTAAGATAGAAAATATATGTTAATTTTGACGTGTATATTTTTTAAGTCTCAGAACACAGTAATTTATGTAAAAATATCTAGTAATATATAGTGATTTTTTATAACACTTCGCAAAATATTAATGTCTTATTACAAAATTAATATTTCTTATCGGTCTTTAATATGTTTTTTGCAAAAATCTGCACTTGACATTAAAACCAAATAAAATTTTGAAAATACTAAACTAAAATACTATAAAGTAATATGAATAACAAAGAAAAATTACGTGTTAATCCATGCAGAAAATCAGTAATGACCGATTTTGTCATCATTAAAAATTGGCATAATTTATTTTCCTGTCAATTAAATTTTGGACATTGTAGAGGTTGGAACTGACCAAAAAAACCTTAATCGATTAATAATCGATTAACCAAGGGCCCTAATCGATTAATAATCGATTAATATTAAAATATTAAAAATTTTTTTTTTTTTGACCGCAGATTGCACCAAATTGTTTTTGATCATACATTTAGTTATAGGAAAGTCTTATTTATTATTATTATCATTAAAAAATTAATACAAATTCTTCCAAGTTCGGAGAACACGTGACCAAAAATTCACAGCTCTGGGCCGCATTAGATAATTTGACCAGAATTATGGGTTGATAATTTTAATCGATTAACCGATTTTTGAGATACTTTAATCGATTAACCGTCTTAGTCGATTAATTAATCGATTAACCTTAATCGATTCCAAACTCTAGGACATTGAGCACTACGAAGAATATTTTCAACTTTTAAGTTCTGCTGCTTGTCGTTGCTCCTTTTGAAACTCATTAACTATAGTATAGATTTCTATAAGTGTTTGATTAACCTAAAGTTACTCAGCTTCCAGCGACGATGCCAATTTTCAATATAATTTTGTGTTTTTGGAGCACCTATCTCCACTAAGTCATGTACAGACTATAGCTGTGGTGAGAAAAGAGGCGAGGCATACATGAGTTATATCTCCATTTTCACTATTTTTCTATTTGCATTTTTTATTTTTGTTTCTTATATTTAATGAACACCTTACTAACTTATTCTACTTTTTATTACTTTATGGATTTTAATTCTTTTAACTATCTCCCTTAGTCCCTTTTTGTCCTTTATTTTTCCGTATATTTTCATTTTTAATATCTCCCTTTCATACTCATCATTTTTTATATCTTTCTTAATTTCTCGTTATCTTCCTTCGTCTCTTATTACCTTTTACGTTTCCATTCGTTTCAGTCATCATTTTTTTTGCACCTTTCTTCATCTTCATTTTTTTTCACGCCTCTCATCATTGTTTATCATCTCCATTTATCCATCATCTTTTTACATTTTCTTTCTTTCCTCATCATTTTTTTTTTACGTCTTCCTTCGTCATCATCTTTTTGCATCTCCATTTGCCTCACATCATTTTTTTGCATCTCTATTCATCTCTTATTCTCTTTTTGAATCTCTATTCATTTCCCATCTTATTTTTTACATCTCATTTCATCCCATCATTTTTTTCATTTCTTTTACATCCTTATTCACCTCTCATCATTTATTTATATCTCTCTTCGTCCCCCATTATTTTTTTTACTTTTATTTATTATCTCATATATTTTTTAAGTTTCCTTTATGTCCTATCACGGTTTGACATCTCCATTCGTTTCCATCCTGTTTTTATATTTCAATTCATCTCAATCATTTTTTTAATCTCTATTTAGTATCTTAATTTTCTTAATCTCTCTTTATATTTTACCATTTTTATCAAGATTTCCTTTTTTTTTTTTTGTATACCTATGTTATTTTTTAGTTTGGTTAAGTATGAATTTGATAATATTTTATTTTCTAATCAATGATTAACGTTATCGTTTAATATTGCATGTACCAATTAAAATAGTTATTTTTTATAAATATTTTTGTGAAAATGTATTTTCTGCAGCAAAAAATTAACAAACTAAAGAAAATTAGAAAATCCAAAATTAGCTAACCGTCACCTCGCCTGGGTTTTTTTTTCAAATATGTCACATGATGTACAATATATAGTAATTTATTAATCGGTCGATGGCTGATTTTTTTTAACTTAGCTAATTTACTTAAAATTTTATTGCGAAGATATTTTTAAAAAGAATTTTTTGCAAACATATTTATTCAAAATAATCTTATTTAATTTATTTAATGAAATTTTATTTGCAAATATTAAAATTTAAGCCACACATTTACGATTTTAAAGAAAAAATCACCATATTTATTTTTAATGAAGTGATATAAACCAAAAAAAACAATAACAACGGACGCAAAAATTACCTTCTTGATCCGTGTAACCATATCATCACCCCACCGCATAAATAAATAAAAAATATAAGTAAATTACAATGTTCAAGGAGAAAGATGTTAATAAAAAAATGGGTAATGGAAAGTAATAGAAGATGAAGAAGAGTAATAAGGAAGTGATAGGAAACAAAAGGAGGAATAGGACATGATGAGAGATGAAAAGGAGAAATAGGACATGATGAGAGATAAAAAGGAGTGATGGGAGACGAAAAGAAGTGATAGGAGATGAAGGGGAGTGATGAGAGACGATAATGAGTGATGAGAGACGTGAAGAAGTGATGGGAGACAAAAAGAAATGATGGGAAGTAAACAGGAGAGAAAAAGAGATAATAGAAGATGAAAAGTTGTAATAGAAAATAATGGGTGACGAAAGGATGGAATAATGAAAAGCAATACAAAAAATAAAAAAATGATCATGATAGGAGGTTGGGTAATGATAGAAAACCAAGTAAAAAAAAATCCATAAAAACCATAAAATAAAAAAAAATGTAGTTAGTAAGAAGATAGAAACGAAATAAAAAAAAAATAAATAAATAAATAAACATACCTTTATTAATTGTAGAACCGAAAGAACTAAAATATCTAAAAAAAAAAAAAAGAAATAAAATTAGTGAAAACCGAAATATGAAACAGAACAAAATAAAAAAAATAAAAAAATGAGTAAGAAACGAAACGTAAGGTGAAAAACAACTGAACCTTAATTGCAGAACCTGAAGGACTAAAGGACCTAAAAATAATGAAATAGAGTAGTAAGAAACAAAGTATAAGCAGAATGTAAGTAAGAGATAAAAATAAAAGAAAGAAAAATACCTTGAGACTGAAAGAACCGAGGAAACGAACCTATACTGAAAACGAGATTCGATAAACAAGTTAAACATGACGCGATCATGTGGCCAATATGGCCAATCAGAATATTAAATCTGTCACATGATCGAAGACCCAGGCGATGATCGTCCAGGCGACGGTTAGCAATTTCCAAATAAATTTATTAATTTTAATTTAGAGAGTGAGTTAACTCGGGGCAAGTTGGCAAAATTAAAAAAGAATATATAATTAATTAATCACTTCAATTATAGTATTAAAGTTAAGTAATCTGCATTAAGCAAGTTTGCGTAAATCATTCATCTTATTAAGATTTAATAATAAATTTATTCATCTTTTAATGCAAACAATTATAATGAGATTACGTTTCAAAGCCAAATAATGATTGAACCTTTTGTGCTACCATAAATATTCTAAGCATATATAAGAAGTTCCTTATTATTTTTCCATTACACTCGCTAAACTAAAAATTCATAAAAAAAGTTTTAATACATGCCCGGGGATTCTAATACATAAATATGTATATTGAAGTTAATATTTAGCAGATTTTATTTATTATTACGGACCCAGGTGATATTAATGTCAACCAGTTTTTTTTGGTATTGTGAATAAAATTTATGGCAAAACATAAATAATTTATTTTCTGAATTTGATATGGTCTTCTGCTGTAACGGTCCTTTTAAAATATTTGCTAAATTTCTCGCCATCAAGAGGTCAGATTACCACCATTGGATTCTCTTGATCGTATGGTTCGAATGATAATATCTGTGTAACAAAGACAGTTCAAGTATAATGTTTTAAAAATCAATTTTATATTGTACGAAAGATAACGATAAAAGACAATCATTTCCAAAAGCAATATAACATTCAATAACATTATCACATAGTTGTAAGAAATCCAATAGTCTTAATTTTGTTTTAATAATTTTGTTTTAATACAAGCCCTGGTTTATAGAGAAAATGAACCACATTTTGAAAATTTCTGTGGTAAATTGATAAATTTGGAGATTTTTGCAGAGTGTTTATAAAAATATGAAAATTTCAGTTAACAATTCAATATTATTACATATACTAAAATCATGATAATTTGTGCAATTGACAACAAATGAATCAATAGTAGCAAAAATAATATACAGTATCTATTAATTTTTGTGAAAATTAAACAATTTTCTTTGCTTCAGTTAAGGTAAGTGAATTCTTTCTGATGTCACGTTAGAGAGATGGTAACAGTGGACTTTTAACAATCAAAATCAATCATTGATAATAAATTATGATACTTCATCAATAAATTATAATACTTCATTTTTTCAGTTAAAACAAATAATCATGTATCCAGTATTTGCTAACAATAAATTAAGTTCACTACTGTGATTTAATTTGCCCAATTACAAACTGATTTATTTACTTAAAATAAAACTTACATTTACAGTGTTGGACAAAAAATTATTCATTTCATTACAAATGTTCTATAACTAAGCAATTATATTTGAAATATCAAATAAATAAATTTGTAAAATTAATCATGTGCAATATGATGCTTATTTTGCATCTAATTTAGATTATTAGTAATTGCACAATCTAAGCATTCAGAATTGTCATCATTATATTTTGGGAGATCTTCTGTGAATGGATTAAGTAATCGAGATGTATAAATAGCTTGAGGATGAGTAGTTATTTGTCTATCCCCCTTTAATGAAGAGAGATGTAACTTTCTATATTCCTCTGCTTTTTCAATTTCTAATTTATTATTTACAATCAATGAAAGTGAGTGATCTAATTCATTGATATCAGGCCTATTTTCTAGATTTAAATCCCAACATTTGTTCATTAACTTAATATAAGTTATTGGCATTTCCAGCTCATTCATTTCAGGACTAATTCCATTACAAATATCTAATGCTAAATGATGATCATGTGCACGATTGCCAAAAGGTTGTCTTTCAGCTGCTACAAAATACATAATCATACCAAAGCTATAGATATCTGCTGCTTTAGTGTAAGGTTTTCCTCTTAATACTTCAGTGGCCACATAAGGCATAACTCCATAGATATTATTTTGATTGATATCATCAACTTTTCTACATAATCCCATATCTGTAATATATATTCTACTATTTTGTTTTGAAGAAAGATTGCCAAATAATATATTTCCTGTATGAAAATCTTGATGTACTATTTTTTTACGATGAAGTTCTCTAAGTCCACTAGCAATATAACGTAATATTTGCATCTTATCTTTCCAATTAAATTATTTATAATTCTCATTTATATTTAACCAATTATTAAAACTTCCACCTTCTGCATGGTGAAGAACAACAATATAATTTTTTGTATTTGGATCTTGAGATATTCCATATGTATTCATAATTTTACTATTACTAAGAGCCATTTTAGTTGAATATGCCTTAACCTATTAAATATTTATTATATAAAGTGTAAGTATATTGAAAATCATCGAAAAATTTATGAAAAAAAGTATTTCATACCTCATTTAGCAATTCATTAATAGGATGTTGTGAATTGTCCAAACATTTTAATGCAACTTTGAAATCTTTCCACATTGCTGAATATACTGTAGAAAAACCACCTTTACCTATTTCCTTAATTTCATTAAACTGATTATATGGTATCCATTCAAATATTGCATCAGGAAAACTACTAATTTTCTCCTGTTTTTCTTGTATGAAATTATCAATTGTTTCATTTCCACTAATCCGGGTAAGAACCAAAATATAATCACTTGTATCTGGATTTTGAGATATTCCATACAATACAAAAAACTTGTCATTTTTTGTTGAATATTTTTTAGCCTAAAACCATAAACAGAAAATTAGCATTATATTAAAAAATGTGATAATACTTATATAAATTTATACCTCATTTATTAGAGAATAATCAACAGGATCCTGCAAGTTATGCAAACATTTTAAAGCAACTTCTTTATTTGAATCTCTTGTACAATTACCATAATGTAATGGGCCATTCTTCCATATTGCAAAATATATGGTTATAGAACCATTTTTGCATGTTTCTTTAATTTCATTAAATTGATTGTATGGTATCCATTCAAATACTACATCATCATCAGAATTAACATTTAATTGCCTTTCTTGAATGAATTCATCAATTTTTTCATTTCCACTCAGCATAAGATAATTTTGAACTAAAATATAATCATTTGTATCTGGATTTTGAGATATTCCATATAATACAAGAAACTTGTCATTTTTTGTTGAATAATTTTTAGCCTAAAACCACGAATAGGAAATTACATTATATCAAAAAATGTGATAATAAACATAATATATTTATATTTATTTAAATTCATACCTCATTTATTAGAGAATCATCAATAGGATTTTGCAAGTTATGCAAACATTTTAAAGCAACTTCTTTATTTGAATCTCTTTTATACTTATAATATTTATCATATTCATCATCATAATATAATGGGCCATTCCTCCATATTGCTGAATATACAGTTATAGAGCCATTTTTACCTGTTTTTCTAATTTCATTAAACTGATTGTATGGTATCCATTCAAATACTACATCATTAGACTTATTAATTTTTAATTGCCTTTCTTGAATGAATTCATCAATTTTTTCATTTCCACTCAGCATAAGATAATTTTGAATTAAAATATAATCATTTGTATCTGGATTTTGAGATATTCCATATAATACAAGAAACTTGTCATTTTTTGTTGAATAATTTTTAGTCTAAAATCATAAACAGAAATTAACATTATGTTAAAAAATATGATAATAAACATAATATATTTGTAGAATTTTATACCTCTTTTATTAGAGAATCAGGATTTTGTAGGTTATGCAAGCATTTTAAAACAACTTTTTTATTTGAATCTCTTGTATATTTACTATAATATAATGGGCCATACCTCCATATTGCTGAATATACAGTTGTAGAACCATTTTTGCCTGTTTCTCTAATTTCATTAAACTGATTGTATGGTATCCATTCAAATACTACATCATTATGCTTATTAATTATTAATTGTCTTTCTTGAATGAAATCGTCAATTTTTTTATTTCCACTTGTCCATATATAGTTATTTTGAACTAAAATATAATCACTTGTATCTGGATTTTGAGATATTCCATACAATACAAGACATTTGTCATTTTTTGTTGAATATTTTTTAGACTAAAGCAATAAACAGAAAATCAATATTATAATAAACAATGTGATAATAAATATAATATATTTATATAAATTTATACCTCATTTATTAGAGAATCAACAGGGTCTTGTAGGTTATGCAAATATTTTAAAGTAACTTTTTTATTTGAATCTCTTGTATATTTACCATAATATAATGGGCCATTCCTCCATATTGCTGAACACACAGTTATAGAACCATTTTTGCCTATTTCTTTTATTTCATTAAACTGATTGTATGGTATCCATTCAAATACTACATCATCATAGGAATTAATATTTAATTGTTTTTCTTGAATGAAGTCATTAATTTTTTTATTTCCACTAGTCCAGGTAAGAACCAAAACATAATCATTTGTATCTGGATTTTGAGATATTCCATACAATACAGGAAACTTACTTGTTGAATATTTTTTAGCCTAAAACCATAAACATAAAATCAATATTATATTAAAAAATGTGATAATAAACATGATATATTTATAGAATTTATACCTCATTTATTAAAAAATCAACAGGATTTTGTAGGTTATGCAAACATTTTAAAGTAACTTTTTTATTTGAATCTCTTGTATATTTACTATAATATAATGGGCCATACCTCCATATTGCTGAATATACAGTTGTAGAACCATTTTTGCCTGTTTCTCTAATTTCATTAAACTGATTGTATGGTATCCATTCAAATACTATATCATTAGATTTATTAATTTTTAATTGCCTTTCTTGAATGAATTCATCAATTTTTTCATTTCCACTCAGCATAAGATAATTTTGATAACTTTGAACTAAAATATAATCACTTGTATTAGGATTTTGAGATATTCCATACAATACAAGAAACTTGTTATTTTTTGTTGAATATTTTTTAGCCTAAAACCGTAAACAGAATATTAACATTATATTAAAAAATGTAATAATATTTACAGATATTCATACCTCATTTATTAGAGAATCAACAGGATTTTGCAAGTTATGCAAACATTTTAAAAAAACTACTTTATTTGAATCTCTTGTATACTTACAATAATTATAATTATAATGTAATGGGCCATGCCTCCATAATGCTGAATATACAGTCATAGAAATATTTTTACCTGTTTTTTTAATTTCACTAAACTGGCTATATGGTATCCATTCAAATACTACATCATCATGGGAAGTAGCATCTAATTGCCTTTCTTGAATGAATTCATCAATTTTTTCATTTCCACTCAGAATAAGATAATTTTGAACTAAAATATAATCACTTGTATCAGGATTTTGAGATATTCCATATAATACAAGAAACTTGCCATTTTTTGTTGAATATTTTTTAGCCTAAAACCAACAATCATTAACAGGAAATTAGCAACATATTAAAAAATGCAATAAGTAATGTAATAATATTTATAGAAATTTATACCTCATTTATTAGAGAATCAACAGGATTTTGAAAGTTATGCAAACATTTTAAAGCAACTTCTTTATTTGAATTTCTTGTATATTTACTATATAAAGGGTCATTCCACATTGCTGAATATACTGTTATAGAACCATTTTTACCTGTTTTTCTAATTTCATAAAACTGATTGTATGGTATCCAATATACTAAATCATAGGAATTAAGCCTTTCTTGAATGAAGCCATCAATTTTTTCATTTCCACTAGTCCAGGTAAGAACCAAAATATAATCATTCGTATCTGGATTTTGAGATATTCCATACAATACAGGAAACTTATTTGTTGAATATTTTTTAGCCTAAAACCATAAACAGAAAATCAGCATTATATTAAAAAATGTGATAATAAACATGATATATTTATAGAATTTTATACCTCGTTTATTAAAAAATCAACAGTGTTTTGTAGGTAATGCAAACATTTTAAAGCAACTTCTTTATTTGAATCTCTTGTATAATCTGAATCCAACTTATTTTTCTTGTATAATGGGCCATTCCTCCATATTGCTGAGTATACAGTTGTAGAACCATTTTTGCCTGTTTCTCTAATTTCATTAAACTGATTGTATGGTATCCATTCAAATACTGCATCATTAGACTTATTAATTTTTAATTGCCTTTCTTGAATAAATTCATCAATTTTGTCATTTCCACTCAGTATAAAATAATTTTGAATTAAAATATAATCATTTGTATCTGGATTTTGAGATATTCCATATAATACAAGAAACTTGTCATTTTTTGTTGAATATTTTTCAGCCTAAACAATAAATAGGAAATTACATTATATTAAAAAATGTGATAATAAACATAATATATTTATATAAATTCATACCTCATTTATTAGAGAATCAATAGGATTTTGCAAGTTATGCAAACATTTTAAAGCAACTTCTTTATTTGAATCTCTTTTATACTTATAATATTTATCATCATAATATAATGGGCCATTCTTCCATATTGCTGAATATACAGTTATAAAGCCATTTTTACCTGTTTTTCTAATTTTATTAAACTGGCTATATGGTATCCATTCAAATACTATATCATTATAGAAAGTAACATTTAATTGCCTTTCTTTAATGAAGCCATCAATTTTTTCATTTCCACTAGTCCAGGTAAGAACCAAAATATAATCATTTGTATCTGGATTTTGAGATATTCCATACAATACAAGAAACTTGCTTGGTGAATATTTTTTAGCCTAAAACCATAAACAGAAAATCAGCATTATATTAAAAAATGTGATAATAAATGATTTATAGAATTTATACCTCATTTATTAGAGAATCAACAGGATTTTGCAAGCTATGCAAACATTTTAAAGCAACTTCTTTATTTGAATCTCTTGTATAATCTGAATCCAACTTAGTTTTCTTGTATAATGGTCCATTCCTCCATATTGCTGAATACACACCATTTTTACCTGTTTGTTTAATTTTATCAAATTGCTTGTACGGTATCCATTCAAATACTATATCATTATAGTCACTTATTTCACTTATTTTCAATTGCATTTCTTGAATGAAATCATCAATTTTTTCATTTCCACTCGCCCAGTTTATGAGATTTATAAAATTATTTTGAACTAAAATATAATCATTTTTATCTGGATCTTGAGATATTCCGTATATTTTATGTTGGTCCTTATACTTATTTGTATGATTTGTTAAATACTTTTTAGTCTACAAAAAGAAAGAGATTAATATACTAAAAATAAAATATTAATAATATTAGAAAATTTCATACCTCATCTATTAGGAATTCAATCATATATTGGGAGCTATATAAGCAATTTAAAGTAACTTTTTTATTTGAGTTTCTTGTGTATTTGTCATTCCACCAATTCTTATATAATGGTCCGTCCTTCCATATTGCTGAATATCCTGTTATAAAACCATTTTTATTTATTTTTTTAATTTTAACAAATTGATTGTATGGTATCCATTCTAATACTATATCATGACGGTCTTCTATTTTCAATTGCATTTCTTGAATGAAATCATCAATTTGTTTTTTTCCGCTGGTCCTATTTGTAAAATTTTTTATTGAATATTTTAAATGATCCTTATTGTCTTCACTATCTTTAAAAGGCATTATTATTTAAACAGTTAAAAAATTTTTAGAATAAAATTTTATTCTTTAACGATATAAATAAAAAAATAAAAATAAATTTGCGCACAAAGGCGTATTCTCGCATGTGACAAACAAAGTCATGTTTGGGTCAACTATGATGATCTCCCGAGCAATATATAAATAGGTAACAAAGGATCGGCACTCATCTCTTCAGGGCAGAATTACGTAATTCTGCTGGAATTATTCAAAATAGGAAGGATTTACACATTATTGTTCATTCTACGCAAACTCTAATTCTTTTTGGCAACCCTTGTCTTTTATAAGTATTATTCATTTATTTTCTTTTCCTCATAGATTGGTTTAATAATAAAAACATTTTTTTCATTGTTTGATTGATTTCACAACTTTCTCTTATGCTTATGCTGAATATGGATACGCCAATTTCGTTTTCTGCCTCATACTTTCCATAAATTTTCACCTGGTGAACTCCAGTCATATATTCTCTTTGCTATTTCATCCTTTAATCATACTTCCAGCTCCTCATTACATTTGATTTTTATTTAACTAGCTACTTTTGCTCTTTCTTTCCCAATTTTCATTCAACAACTATCGTACTCTAGTATTTTCTACTACCGGTCCTTCAACCTTTCCTATCTCTCGTGCTACAGACTCTCTTGCTGCCTCTAAAAATATTTCTTTTGATGCAGAATTTTACAATTTCATCATTTTTCCGTAGTTCTGACTGTTTTAAATGTTTACATTCCTGTTGTATTTTCGTGATTTATCATGATAAAAGGTGTGTATATTTTATATAATTTATATATCATTAATAAATATTGTTATAAAGCTAAAAGAACGACCTAGTAATCATTCACAATCACATTACATTTTTATCACGTGACACTAATCAGTGACACTAAGAAAAAATCAAAAAAAAAATTGATTGGTATAGGGAACTAAAACAAATAAAACAAAAAATAAAAAAATCTATCATTGACTGATTCAACCATTCAAGAAGTCAAGAACTAAATTGTCTAAAAGATGATAGTATTATGATGCTCTATTTATTTATTCTTTACCATCCGTTTATGTATTTGAATGTTCGATATATTTAGCCCAATTGATTCGATTATAACAAAAAATTAATCCATTCCTAAGAAAATAATTAAAAGGAAATGTTAGTAACATTCATTATATCAATACAATCATGAAATTAATACTCTTCTTTACCGTGAGTCATCATTTTTAAAATCCATGAGGCCGTCCCTTATTTTTCCACTACAACATTGTCTTTATAGCTATTCTTATAAAATAAATCGTAATAAAACACTTATATTTCATTTCCTACAAAAATTAAAAGAAAACCTACTGATTATATTCAACTGAAGCTAGGAAAAGTTCAAAAGATAATGCTGAAACAAAAAAAAATCTCTGTTTTTTCAAGTCAAAAAGCCCTTACCGGATAAATTTGCAAATTTTGACCAAAATTAAATTATATCAGTTATCCCATAAGATCATTATGCCATCATTTTGCTCATATTCGGCTAGTTACACCATTTATTCGTTATTTAAGTTATTTTCAACTTTTATAATTTTTCATCATGATGTTTCAATGATTTTTATGTATATTTTTATAACAATTTGAATTACGACAACAAACTAAATTTTAATTACTAAAATTATCTTACATTTATACATTTTATAAAGTGGGATCGACTTTTATGAGTATTTGCTTCTGATTGGAAATACCGGGGAAACCTTTTTATCAGTAAAAAGGAAACTTATAAATTATTATAATTATATTTAACAAATATAATCTTAACATGTGTCCAAACATGTAGGAATTTAGCCTATAAATTAACTAAAAAATTTAAGTCTAATATGTAGAATGTTTTAATATACAGTAAATACAATGCAATAAAAGAGATAAACTACTTTAAAAAATAATCTGCTAACATATTAAATTTAAATAAATCAAAAACATCATTTTTCCATTTTTCTCGTCAGTATCTATTAGGCCGTTCCAATTCGGCTGTTTGTTTAAGAAAAGTTTGAGAAGGAGGAGGGTTTTCATTAAACGATTGGAAAATTTGGAAAAATTCGGAAATTTCAGAAAAATCCGGAAACCCGTAATTTAAATTTAGAGAGAGGGAATTTAAACATGTTTTGTTATATGTTTATCAACATTTTAAATTTTTAAAAAATAGAGGGGGTGGGTACGTTAAACAATCAAGTTGGAATGACCTTACGTTTAACTATAAGAAAAAAAAAAATAATATTTCATACATTAAATAATAAATAATTTTATTATTACATCTTAACTGTATTGAGTCAGTCGATTAATTGAAATTCACAAGCAAAAAATTACTGTTCTAACAATAAAATTTAAAATTTAAATACTTACGATGAATTGCCTGTTAGACTATCATACGTATTAAATTTATAAATCGTATTACTATACAGTTTACGACATAAATATTCGGAATTTTTATTTTTATGCATAAAGGAGTGCTGTCACACCAAGTCTTGTGCAACCAAAATAATAATTAAAATGGAAGTTGATCAGCCCTTTTTAAACATAAATATAGCGTGAAAAATTCTCACCTGATTGTTTATCAGCAGCAAAATAAAATCATGGCACCCACTTCGGNTCTGTCTCTTATACACATCTAGATGTGTATAAGAGACAGGTTAAGGAGTTATGGGATAATAATATACAAAAACCCTCTGAAATAATTAAAATGACTGGTTTTCCAAAGTCTACAGTATATGACATTATCAATCGTCTAAAAAAAACAGGAAGTGTTGAACACTTACCCATTTCTGGTCATCCTCTTGTTCTGACACCAAAAAAACGTCGATATCTTGGCCATCTTCTTAAAAATGATAATGCAACAACTTCAGCTTTAATGACAACAAAGCTAAATAATTTGTATCCAGATCTTAATATATCAACCCGAACTGTATAACGTACTCTTAAAAATAAACTTAATTATTATATTGTTTGTAGACCATGGTCTGTTCCTCTTCTTAAAGAAAGTCATGTTGAAGTTCATCTTCAATGGGCCTTAAATCACATCAAAGATGACTGGACTCACACAATTTTTTCAGATGAAAGTACATTTCAGACGTTTCGTAATACTCAAATTGTACATTACAAGGCTGGAAACCCACATCCAGTACATCCTATGGTAAAACATCCATATAAGGTTCATGTTTGGGGTGCATTTTGCCGCCAAGGGCCAATTGGAGTTGCATTATTTACAGAAAACATGAATTCTGCTAAATACCGTGAAATCCTTCAATCTCAACTACTTCCTAATGCTTATCATGCTGGTTATGGATGGAATTTTCAGCAGGACAATGCGCCAATGCATACCGCGAAGCTTACTCATCAATTTTTTGTGATTAATAATGTTCCGGTTATTGATTGGCCTGCAAACTCACCTGACTTGAACCCCATCGAAAATTTATGGGCGATTCTTAAAGGAAATGTAGAAAGAAGGGTTAATAATTGGGTTATGAAAAAAAAATCACTTGGTGCTAATGATTTTCAAGGCATAATTCAGCAAGAATGGGATAATATTGATAAAAATCTCTTCTTTAGTTTAGCAGATAGCATGTCAGATCGGATTAACATGGTCATAGAAAATAATGGTTATACGATAAATTACTAACTTTTAAAGTATGTTTATCTGCACATCTTAAGCTATTAATGGTATAAATTTGAAATAAAAAAAATAAAATTTATTATGTTTTTACATATTGTGATAAAATTCCGGATATTTATGTCGTGAACTGTATACCCGATATTTATGTTGTGCCCCAAGTTTACGATGTGCCCCAAATCAACGATCGGCCTAAATTATCGGCCCACCTTTATAATGCCTTAAGAATTTCCTAGCATTACTTTTCACATATAGTAATCATCGATGATTATCGTCAATTTGGGATTTTGGGCACAACATTTATAATGAGTTACTAGAAATGCATCTATATCTATACTACAACTAAAAAAATTCGGTGATATTTAGATTACCCTTCCAATAAAAATTTGAATTGATTACTAATATTTATCATATAACTATTATAATAGACTATTATAATTTATTTATTTTTTTGGTTAGATTGAAGTTTCTTGAAGGGCCAATTCATGACACATCGGATTGACCCGAAATATCCAGGTTGGACTCTGACCAGCTTTAAAATAGGACTGACTTGCCAACTGATCGTTAATAATTTGTATAATTATTGATTAACTTAAATGTTGTAAAATGTAAAATGGCTGTCAAATCATTTTTTTTAGAAAAATTCGATTGGTAAATTCCATATCATGGATACCGATAATTTCTACATTAAATGATCGTTTAAAATCGTTGATTGGATTAGTATGTAAGAAGTAATGCTGAGCTAAGTTTATAATTAGTGCTTGATAATTTGGGGTGTTACGATAACATGTAGTGTAGGGATACCCATGTATGTAGGGTATGCAAAATTTCACGCGCGTTCCATACAGATCTACATTGTTTATTACCGAATAAGGAAAGGCCTAGACCGTTCTATTCTGTACCACGTATAGTCACGTGATACTTTTATATGTGATGTTTAATCATACCCTACATACATAGCCAACCATACACTACATGTTTACTATGCTCTCGATAATTTGTTAACTGTTAACCCAAAGCCATATTGTTATGTTACCATAAATTATCATTATCATAGATAATTCAATGGAGAAATATGATAAAATTTAGAAAATATTCATTATATCATAGTTGAATAATTAAATCGAAAATTTTATAATTATAGTATAAATTTCTTATGAATTGATCATTTTTATAATTTATTTCAAATATAATCATTCATATTTATAAACAAATTGTAATTTTTAACCCGATTTAATAATAAAATATAATCATTCCTTAATACTAACAACAAAAAAAAAATTTACGGTATATATAGATTTTAAACAAATACGAAATTTTAAAAAAAATGCAAATGACGGTTTGCCATCTTTTTATCATAAGTGATGGAAAATAAAATTTTGATTTGCGAAAAAGACAGGACAAAACATAAACAATGATCGACCAAAGAATGAAAATTCCAAATAAAAAAAAAATTAGAAACTCCAAAA